AATACCCAGGGCAAACAGCACGCCAAGTTCCTGAGGTTTGAAAAACAACATTTCAATGCTGAGTTCTGCAGGAGCATTTGCATTAGTCTGGTGGCTCCTCCCCGGGAAATTGAGGGCCGGTTCTTTGTCTACTCTGGGTAAAGACTTCTCATCAAGGAGAAGGACTCGCAGGGGCTCCAAAGGACTTTTCCTTTTTACTGCAAATTAGTTTCTGCAAAGTCTAAACTGTGCTAGTCATCAGACAGAAATGCAAAATAACCAGGAAACATTTTAATATTAAAATAAAGATACTGTTATCCATTGACAACAGCACAATAGTAACTTGCTTGCCTGAATGTATATTAGAGAAAATACAGTAATCTTTATTATCCATCTGACCAGTAGGTTGGATATAAAGGTACATATGTACTCAACAAAAGAGGCAGGGGAGACTGAGAGAGCAAGTCAGTCTTCCTGGAAGATTGAGTAAAGCACACATGTCAAACTCAAAGGCTAACACGGGCCAAATAAACAAGGTTTAAGTGTATGGGGCCACAAAAAAACAATTTTCATAGAAACGTAGGTTTATTTTGATAGAAACATGCTGAATACAAAGGGCTGAAATAAATGAGTCATCGTTAACATAACTTAAGAGAACATTTTAATAAAAATTAGTAATTTTTACTGAACATTAACTTACCAGACACGGAATAACTGCACAAATTAATAAGTGAAACGCAAATAAACCTATTTTTCTTGGTCTCCAAAAATGAAATATTTCCTGTGCGCACACCAAACAAGTCAGTCCAAGGCTAATGATGTGGCCATCGGCTGCTAAAATATTCACTGCTAGTATTAGTGGAGAGAAATGGTGCGCCTGCGGTAAGGCGCTTAAGGAACATGAATGCAACACGATTATAGTCATCAGTCATTAGCGAACGTTGTACTTCATTATTAATAATTATGTATAACAGGATATTGTAAAAATTAAGTCATAAAAACTTTATAATGGTTTTGGTTTCTTACATACCATTATATTGGCTGGGCCACAAAAATATTCGTTGTGGGCTGCATGCGGCCTGTGGGCCCCGAGTTTGACATGCTTTATGTAAAGGCTTTAACTTGTAAATTGGGCCTTGGAATATGAGCTAATGTAGTGAATAACGACTTTTCTAGTTACTCTGTTTCAACCCCACCTAGGAGTACTGTAATTCATTCTGGCCCTACCCACCCAGAATTAACCCCTAGAGTGCCGGGGAGCGCGATCGTACTCCTCCTGTCTTTTGCCAAAAGTGCCAGGAGCGCTATCGCGCCCCTCCTGCAGTGTCACTATTAGATGCTAGTAGTTCACTCTTTATGTGGGAAAAAAATTAAAAACCTTAACTCAAAATGCCTTGGCAATTTTAGCATCGTTCCTAAAATATTGATTGGCACTCAAAGGGTTAAGGCAGACCCCACAGGTTACAGGGCAAGATCCTCAACAAGAATTCTCTGACATCAGATGCTACTTCTTACTTGGGGGGTTCCCAGGCCACTTGTACTTCTGTATTAGTCAGGTTCTCCAGAAAAACAGAATAGTGTGTGCATGTGTGAGTGTGTGTGCGTGCGTGCGTGCGTGTGTGTGTGTGTGTGTGTGTGTGTGAGATGTAGAGAGAAAAGCGAGCTTTATATTGAGAAATCGATTCATACCACAGTGAGGGCTGACAAATCTGATATCTACGGGCAAGCTGGCAGGCTGGCATCAGCAGGAGTTGAATTTGCAGTCTTGGTCTGGATTCCATAGGGCAGGCCAGGCAGGCTGGACCCTCAGACAAGGTTTCTGTATGGAAGTCTTGAATTTATAGCCAGCTGGTTAAAATGCAGGTCTCCGTGACCTCCTCAGTTACAGGATTTACTGGAATGACTCACAGAACCCAGGAAAGCTCTACACTTTCAATTACAGTTTTATTATAAAGGATATAAATCAGGAGGACCCGCCAGATGAAGGAACACATGGGAAGGAGTTGGAGAAGAAATACGGAGTGCTCTCTCCTCTCCTCCTGGAGTCCAGGAGGGTCACCCTCCACCACATCCATACATCAATGTATTCACCAACCATTGAGCCTCCGTGTTCAGAGGTCTTATTAAGGTACATGATACAGATGGGCTTGATTGCATCACTGTCCATGGGCCTGAGCTCCATCTCCAGCACCCCTCTGCTCTTCAGGAGGCGGGCTGGCCCAAAGTTCCAAGCCTCTAAGCAGGTGGTTGGTCTTGCTGGTGCCCAGCCCCCATCCTGAAACCAGCTAGGTGCTCCTCACCCTGAGTCACCTCCTTCCCATGGTTTAGTAAACCATGTGGATTTAGTCACATTATCTTCTGATTAATTTCCCCTCTACTACGAAGCAAGAAAGTACCTGCTGTCTGTGGTCAGTTCACTGGGCTACGGTAAGGTACACTCCAAATTACAAGGAAATACTAGAGCCCTCACAGCAGCACTAAAATTACACTGATATTTTTTTCTTCTTCTTTTTTAAAATATATTTTTATTGATTTCAGAGAGGAAAGGAGAGGGAGAGAAAGAGAGAAACATCAATGATGAGAGAGAATCATTGATTGGCTGCCTTCTGCAGACCCACACTGGGGATCAAGCCAGAAACCCAGCATATGCCCTGCCTGGAATTGAACCGTGACCTCCTAGTTCATAGGTCAATGTTCAACATTGAGCCATGCCGGCCGGGCTACACTGATATTTTATATGCAGTGAATGAACAGAGGTATATAAAAGCACACTGTAGAGATGAGCATCGCCCCCAGGCAGGCCTGGCAGGGCTGACCGCAATGATTTCACTGACAAGCCTAATGAACACAGCTAACGTGAAGAATGTGTCTCTCCTATGGTCTGTGAAGAGAGAGTTCAGAGAGGGCCTTTCTGTTAGTCCTCTCCAGGGACTATTGGCAAAAGAGTATTATGGTCTCATTGGCAAGATGAATACGATTAACTGTCAGCCTAATTTCATTAAATACTCAATCTTCATGCCCTTTGTTCTGGTTCCAATGGCCAAAGAACCTCATAATTATAATTAGCTTTCCAACGAGAGATCTGACACTAGGGCAAAAATTTTCTCACTTAACAACATGAATAACGTGTTCCAGTGTGTGTGAGAGGACACAGCCACAATCCCCACAGAAAGACCTCAGTTCTACACTTCTCCAACCTGGCCAAGAAATATCTCACTCCATGTGGGCTACCCAGACCACCGAGCATGCCTCTGTGGAAAATAAAAGGGGGCGGGGGGCAATGGGGACTGCTATTTCAAGCGGCAGAGAAAGCTAGTTGTCCAACAAATTTTGTGCTCTCCTGATTTAGGTAGGTTTTCACTGGCAATAAGGCTTCCTGCCTGGAATTATCCTTCCCAGCCTCCTTTGCTCTCAGATGTAAACATGTGACTAGTTATCATCCAAGCAGAAGTGATGGGTGTCACTTTCAGACCAAAGGATATCATCAATCACAAAGCCCTAGAGATAGCAGAACCACAGAATGAAGCAATCTGCCACCCGGAATCACTTCATGAGGGACGATGAACAGCAGATGCATGACGCTATCTCATGAGTGAAAAATAAATGCAATGTTGTTTTGTTCAATATCATTTCATCATAACATTGATGAGACGCTGTGGGAACTTAAATTTTGTTTCTATCAATTAGCCTCTGGTAGAATCGGTTTCATTATGTCATTTCAGTTTAAGTCACAGAACCGAACATTAAGTGGGGACTTACTATATTGTGTTTGAGCTTTTATAAATGTGAGGGTTTATTTGTTATATCAGGTGGCATTACCCTAACATACCACATGTACATTCTCTTGCACTGCTTAACAGTATCAGGGAATAAATGACTAACTAAAAGACACCTTGAACTGAGTGCTACACGGTCATTCTCTCACATCCTCCAGCCCAGGTGAGGTTCCGTGACCTGGTCTCAACAAACATGAGAAATGGATTCTCCAGGGCAGATTAATGACTTGGCATTGCAGTTTTAGCATCAGTGCTCTGAGCTTGCTCAACGGAGGTCTCTCTTAAGTTAGAGACCAACTCTCAGTGGGCTGACACAGATCTTTGAGTCCAGAAGATCCCCAGGACTCAGTCCTGGACTAGGAGAAATGTTCTGATGCCACCATGCAAGGCCTATCGGAAGTGCTATTGCTCTCCTAACGGTACCTCTGAACCTGGGAGGCACAAACGTTGTATTTGATGCTTCCTTTATACTCTATGACTTTAAAGACAAGGAGAGGATGGCCCAGCTGTCAAAAATCATAAATTATGATGGCCAACCAAAGGTAGGCAAATAAGCTAAATGCACTGCAAATGTGCAAGCTGGTATATCTCTACCCTTGCTACTCGAAGTGTTATTTGAAGACCAGAGGCATCAACATACTGGGAGCTTGTTAGACTGAAGTTCTGACCCTTCCCTCCCTCCCCCGCACCCCCACACCAGACTTCAGAATCAGAATTAGCATTTTAACAGGATCCCCGTGATCTGCGTGCTCCTTAAATTGTGAGAAGCTTGGCTTTTTCCTTCCATCTCCTCTCTCGCCCTCAGCTCTACATTTTTTCCAAGACAAAGGGCCTTGGAAAATGTGTGTAATCAACTTACAGACTTTCTTGTATCCTGAGAAGCAGTTATGAGGAAGAGAAATGGGTCTGAAAACCGGGCATCAGCTGCCTCGTGGAGGAAACCTAGAATGGGTTTAAAAGACTAAAAATAGTGTCAAAGTCCTGGGCTCCCCTGCAGCTCCAGAAAGTCTTCTGGGTTCCAGTAGGCACTTCCCTTTCCTCGTGCCTTCTCCTCCATCCTCACGGCCTGATCCAGCAGGTGTGCCCACTCCCGGAGAGCCCTGCTTCCGACCTGGTGGGCCAGCTGGTCTCCCCCACCTTCCTTTCCCACCTGATGCATTTATGTCCCCTGTTGATGCACGTGTGGGAATTTTCTGAGTTTATAGCCCTGTTTTAAAATATTAAAATAGCCCCAAAGTCATTAAGTTTTAGAGGAAAACCAACTTTATTCATAAAGTATTCACCAAGAGAAACATTAAAGCAAGCTCAGGAAATTCTACAGTGAGACATCCCTCCAATCCTTTCATTATCATCTCCTGCTATAGACTCCAAAGACAGTAAACCAGGGGAAGGTGTGGAGAGCAGCTATGGTTACACCTGTGAGAGGAAGAGCTATAACAAGAAGTGCATTAGTTCCCTAAGAACTACCTCCCAGCCCCACTACAAATGGTCACCTTCTTTCCTTCCTTCTTTTCTTCCTTCCTTTCTTCCTTCCTTTCTCCCTTCTTCCTTCATTTCTTTCTTCCTTCCTTCTTCCGGTTCTTCCTTCTTTATTATTTAAAAACATATAAATATATCCTCAGGCATTTAAGGAAATGAACCTGTTCTAGGTAATTAAGTAAGATAACTGGAGATCTATTGCTTTTACAATTCCAGATGGTTCAGAAACTTTGGTTCACACCTTATTAAAATCTAGAGCATTGGACTTCTTTCAAACTCATCCCACTCTCCAAGAGTCCCTGGTTTCCAAAGGAATTAACAGACAGAAGTCATAATCTCCAGGATTTTCTCATCATTAAAATGAAATAGGCGTCGGTGTCAATAGAAGCACTAACACCAGCGTAATAGTTCAAAAAGTCTTCTTCTGAAACCTGAGGGGGGTACAAGGCAAGGGAAGAAGAAGGGAATGGCGTCAAAATATGGGAATCACAGTAGAGCATTTTACATTCTTCCTGAACTGTTTCCTGTTGGGCTTGATGCGCCCCTGGCAGGTAAGCTGGGTCAGGTGAGTGGGGGCTGGCTTGCCTTCCCTCTAAGCGGGCTCTCGGAGGCGGGGCATCTGCAGGAGCCACCAAAGACCCGCCTGCCCACTGGCCAGCTGCAGCTCCCCCAGGGCCATCCCATGTTTGCATTCAGATAAAAATTACTATAATGAAGAGGTGAGCTCCTCAGGCACACTTTCGGCCACTCAAAGCCACTGCATGGCTGGTGGCTGATGTCTTGGAGAGAGCAGACATGGAACATTCCCATCTTCACAGGAGGCCCTGTAGGGCAGCCCTGCTCTGGAGCATACCGGTGCCTATTATTAATACTGTAGAGTAGAGCAGTTACTAGCTAAGGGAACAGGTAGGGAAAGGAAGGGAGTCTAGACCACACACCTCGGCAGGGACAGAACAAGAGAATGGGACACGTCCCAGGGTCCTTGGGCATTGAGGAGTATGTGACGTGATGCCTGGCATCCAACTGCAGGGCACAGGGACTAGCCTGTGGGAGTTGCTAGAAGGCAAACTCCCCCAACTTCTCAATTAGCCAGGATAAGTGTGAGTGCTTCATGGTGGTCCCCACGCCTCCTACAATGGGCAATGGAGTTAAGAGCAAAGACCCAAAGAGCAGGAGTCAGCCCTAGGCTCCATCTCTCTCTCCTTCACCTTAACCTCCCCTGTTGCTTAACACCAACCCATAGAGTAATACTGTTCCCCACGGGCCTGGAAGGGCCAACTCATCTTGGCTGCCATCACAAGGGTTTTGTGGGTAATTACAGTTTGTTCTTTTAAAAGCATGAGAGAGTACAATTTGAACAGGGCTTTATCATTTTCAGCGAAGAACTTTTATCACCTGTGACTGAAAGGTCACACAAAGAACATTTTTAAATGGTCCAAAAGCACCATCTGGGAGGCAAATTTTCAAAGAAGTGTGACATGTAACATGTTAGCTGATAAGAAGAAATAGATTTGGAAACTTTAAGGGTGTTTCATACAAACCTACATGAACTTTCTTATTGCATGAGTAGCTAATGTTTCAATATGTAAATTGAGGAAATTCTCCTAAATCAGAACCGTGTCAATGGTGAGGCACAGTTGAAACGGAAAATATGACAAGGTTGGCATATAAACTAAACCAGTGGTTCTCAACCTTCCTAATGCTGTGACCCTTTAATACAGTTCCTCATGTTGTGGTGACCCCCAATTTCATTGTTACAAATTGAACATAATTAAAGCATAGTGATTAATCACAAGAACAATATGTAATTATATATGTGTCTTCCAATGATCTTAGGCGACCTCTGTGAAAGGGTCATTCAACCCCCAAAGGGGTCGCGACCCACAGGTTGAGAACCACTGCACTAAACTTAGTGGCTTAAAACTTCTCCATCTCTGGTTCCTAGAAATGATGTCCTAAATATTGCCATTAGAGATGAGTTCTTGTTTTTAATGCATGGGTAGCTTACCACTGAGAGCTATGTATAGCTGTTTAAAGAAAACATTTTTAAATTTATATGACAGATATCTTGGAAATTCTGCTTTATCATGGTTTTTTCAGCATAATTGCTATTCAATTTCTATTTTCAAATACTACCAAGAGCCGGGCCAGAGTGACTCAGCTGGTTGAGCGTCGTCTGTGCACTGAAAGGTTGCCAGTTCGATTCCTGATCAGGGCACATACCTGGTTTGCGGGGTTGATCCCTGGTCAGGGCGCATACAGAAGGCAATTGATGTTTCTCTCCCACATAGATCTCTCTCTCTCTCTCTCTCTTTCTAAGCAGGTACTCGGATGAAGGTTAAAAAAAAAAAAAATACTATCAAGATAAGATTTACATGTAGGAACGCCTCCCTATCTAGAAAGTAACTAGTGTTACAGTTATGCAAATAAAGCACTGTTGACTAAGAAGTGGCCTGGAACTGTTTTAAAGGGCATGTGGGAAATTTTTATGAACAGCATATTAATTGCATGTATATGCAATTAAATATCTCCATGTACCTGTAGAGCACATATGAATGTAATTAGGTATAGCCCATATAATTCTTTTCAAATTACTGAAAATGCCCCCCCCTTTTTTTAGTATAGATGAAACAAAAGTAAATTTTCACTCAGACTCTATCTAAATGAGCTCAATTAGTGGAGCCTGAATTAATGGTAATTTACTATGCTCACTTTGCAGCTTCAAAGACAAGTAAATGGATGTTGAATGATATTGCTAAATGAGATTTTAGGCATGACTAAGTATGAAACTTGTGGGATGATGTTTGAATTCCCAGTTTCCTTGGAAATGAAAGTAATGACCTGGGTTTGCTAAGGCAATGCCCAACACTTGGTAATGGCCTACGTTCCTATAGCACTTTATCCCATCAACCTGGAAACAGGCCGAGGCTCCCTAGGACCCTGGGCGAAGCAACCACTCAGCCACCTGGCATCTTCTCTCCCTTGAGGCCCCCGTGCTGAAGTCTCTCTCAGAGCACAGATTAGCATCAGTTCTGCAGGTGGCCTGAGCGTTTCTAGGAGACCAGCAACTCAGACCTTTCAAGTTCAAGATCAAGATGTTCCCAGAATCAACACCAGCCTCTGAGTGCCAAGCATTAAGGTCAGTAAAGAAAAAGTTACTCGAGTCTTGTAATGACAGGATCACCAACTAGACACTCAGATCTCGCTTCATTTCAGGGGCTTCAGCTCTGGGTCCTCATGAACTGACTACAGAGCTGGCGCAGGAGGAAACAGGAGATGAAGGATAGTTCCATGGGCAGCGCCATGTAACGCTGGGTGGGACCCTTTGCACATTTGAGCTGCTTGCCCCTGGTCCAGTGCGAGAAGCAAGACCAGCAGCTGGAAGTCCCTGGTGCTCACAAGAACTTTGGTGAAACAGAAATGACTGTTAATACTCCATAGAAATAATAAGTAAATACATTCCATTTGTGATGCGTGGGGAGAAGAATCTAGAACAAAAGAAATAGTCGATTACATGTTGAGATGGCCTTTCCCCAATGCAGTATACCTTTCTGGTGGTTGCAAGTTCCTTTGTGGAAGCCTCGCTCCTGGCCGGCTGGCTGCTCATGTTTGCAGGGCGTTCCCTCCCTAAGAACACCTTCCACTCTGCACTGGCTTTGGCAGAGCAGGTGTGAGAACCAGACAAGCAGCCATGCTATTCTCAGAGAGGAAGAGCTGTTTCACCACAGCCTCTCACCGCACCCTGAGAGGGCAGAAAGGCCGCCGCTCACACAGGCTTCTCAAACCCCCATCAATCATCTGCTCAGGTTTCTCAACAGATTCCACCGGGCATCTGTTTTAGAGCCCTTACTTTTAGGGGATTCGTTTCGTGGGGGCATTTCAATCACAATAAAAGAACTAGCTCTCTCCAGCAACGTGTGCAGTTTCCATATAAGCAACTTGGACAAGCAAAACTGTGTTAGAGAGATCGGCTTTCAAAAGGAGCAGTTACACATCAATAACATTATTCGCAACCTATCAGATCCTGGCGCCTGTGTTTTTCCTGGAGCCAGAAACAGTTCTAAAATTTGAAATGCTGTTGCCTCTTTCAACAAGGCCTTAATTTAAAAGAACAGCCCGTAATTTCCAGGAAAGCAAGTTTGATGACTAATCTTGAGAACTGGAATTTGTGAGGTTTTTCATTCTAAGCCCAAAAGAGATAAGCGTAAATCCAGAAAGGTATACTACTCAGAGGGTGTTAGTAGAATTTCGTGAAGGGGGAGGAGGGAAGGCACCCACACACCGTCCAAGAACACACTGGTTGCATTAATCTCTCCACCTGATTAAACACCAGCAGGACGACGTCATCCCTAGGCAGCCTGATGCGGGTAGAATCGTCACCCCCTGTTCTTGCGGCTCAGTGAAGCATCCGCATTGGCCCAGAGACGCGAAGGGCCAACTGTCTGCCTCCAAGAATAGAGGGGGCTTTTCTTGCCTCGTCTTGATAGATTTTCTACCTTCAGCAAATGTCCTACCTCGTTCCTCAACACTCTGCCATGTGAAGGGCCTGCACAGCCCTGGCTGCTGACGCTGAATGAGACTCAGAGAGGGGAGTTTCAGTACCCATGCTTTCCGCCTCTCTGATCGCTTAACAACCATGGGCTGTGAGTTTGGTTTGAAAGCCAGTAGTTTTGTTTGCATTTATTCTAACTCAGTGATGGCGAACCTTTTGAGCTCGGCGTGTCAGCATTTTGAAAAATCCTAACTTAACTCTAGTGCCGTGTCACCTATAGAAATTTTTTGACATTTGCAACCATAGTAAAACAAAGATTTATATATTTTTTAATATATTTTTATTGATTTCAGAGAGGAAGAAAAAGGAAGAGAGAGATAGAAACATCAGTGATGAGAGAGAATCATTGATTGGCTGCCTCCTGCACACCCCCCACTGGGGACGGAGCTCGCAACCCAGGCATGTGCCCTAACCGGAATCGAACCTGGGACCCTTGAGTCCGCAGGCCAATGCTCTATCCACTGAGCCAAACCAGCTGGGGCAAGATTTATATTTTTGATATTTATTTTATATATTTAAATGCCATTTAACAAAGAAAAATCAACCAAAAAAATGAGTTCGCGTGTCGCCTCCAACACGCGTGTCATAGGTTCGCCATCACTGTTCTAGCTCATTGCTCTACTGCCAAGGATAGAACATGGCACATAGCAGAGGGTCAAGAAATACTTTCTGATGGGATGTATTTTCAACCTAAAACCATGATGTGTGCAAAGTCAATCTGCAGCCTACGTAGAGGGGCCCAGCCCACCATAACCCCCACACATGCCATCAAGTCACAAAGAACAACACACCATCCTCCAAAGTGCTACCAGGGTCTGGGAAGAAATCCTATCCAGGTTTGAATGTCTGTGTTAAGATCAGCCCCTCGGACTGGCTGGAAGAATTCTGCCTCAGTCTACAACTCATCCCAGTGGGTCTTAGATTTCCCATTTGCGTTATGAATGGAATTCCAGCAGATGTGAACCAGAGGCTGAGTCAAAGTCCCCTCCATTCTTGCGTAGGTTTGCCTTTGGGGGAGTTAGAACCCAGATTCAGCATGATATTAGTGGCTTGTTCTGACCAAACCTGACTCTCAGAATTTTTACATACATTGTTCCTGTTTCATAAAAAGCTGCTAAGTTCTTCCTCTTTTCTTCTTTGTTTAATTCCTATTTGGGGTCCAGGCCCAAAAGGTAAGGTTTTCAAAAGGGTTGCTTAGGAAACTTTCTTGTGTTGTATCTTCTGACCCAAGTGCTTACGTTTTAAATTGATAATGGAGTGATGTTTAAATTGTGTAAGTTAAATAAACCAAAAATAGATGCAAAAGTATTAACAAATGATTTTTAATGGCCTTTCTCTGTTCCTCCCACTAGGCCAGAAATCACAGATGAGACTCAGAATAGGAGAGGCGTGATCCTTGCCTGTAATCTTGCTACGGAGGGCGAGAGGCCGTTGGTGAATCCTAGCTCGTGGGCTCAGACCAAATCTGCTAGAGGGGCGGTGACTGAATGTGACCAAATGCACTGCGAGGCACGGGTTATCTAAGATCTGAGAGCTCTGCCCTGGGCCCCAATTAGACAGGAAGCACAGTACAACGGGGAAGACGAAGCTGATAGCTGCAGCCCAGTCCTCGTTCAGAATCACATGCTAACTCTACCGCCCAGTTAAGCGGAGCCATGAGTCATACCCAGAATCAAAGACAGAAATCTATCTAGAGCAGTAGGCTTGAAATCCACCGTGTCCAGGAAACTGGGGACCTGGCTGTAGCCACAATCTGCATAGTGCAGGCTCCATAGAACATGGGTATCTCTTCTACACATTTCTTCGTCATTTCTTCCGGATTTCTACATCATTTCTATATCCTCCCTCATGACACTTGGCATCTTCTGACCTGCCAGCCTCGATAGAAGCCTAGATAATCAATCCAATGGAAACCCAGACTTGTGTAATTAATTCCAGGGAAAGAGGAATTGTAGAGAAGTTAAATTACAGTTAACTACTTAATATCTTTGTTTCTGCCCTAGAACACGCTGTTGGCATGGGAGAAACAGTGGGATGAACTTGAACTCAACTATAATCCTAGTTTTGAGCTGATGTTTAATCACTTGGAGCCATGAGGCTGTACCCAAGGCCCTGGTCCCCAGTTCATACATTTAGAGCTTCCAGGCGGTTCTTATCCTCAACAAAAATGTCCCTCTTGCAGCCTGTGATGAGGATGAGAGTTTAGCTTCTCAACTACAAACAAAGTCATTGAAGGTGTCTCCCTTAATACCTGCTATAATTAACCTCTGAAAACATCTACTTCCACCATTTTTAGGTCAATGTATATCCTGACCTCAACTTCCAAGTCTGAGAAATAAAAAGTAAACAAGTGAACTGATACAAAGAATGGCGGTTATGTTCAGACCCTCAATCCAGAGTCACTTAAAGATATAAGATCTTAAAAAATACCATTGTCCCGATCCATGTCCCCAAACCAGGGAAAGAGGAGAGAGAAAGGGGGAGGGGGGGGCGTGTCCCCGAGGAAAAAGATAGACTGGTCATTACGCCCAGCACTGTAGCCAGAGGGCTGGCGAGTGCTTATCTCTGGCCCAGACACAGAACACAGCGCGAGGGCTGTAGCTCAGCATCTAGTTCCCAGACGCTGAGGGTGCCTGTGCGCAGAGGACTTCCCCGGGGAGCTGCTGGCACATGAACGACAGGCATGGAGGCGGGAGGAGAATGCTTTGAGCCACGAAGCATCAGGAGGGACAGTCTGCTTTGGAGCATGGCTGTGACCTTAGTCTGTGTCATACCGACCTCCCTATGCTGGTGGGAAAGTCAACGCTGTTGACCAACAGCAAGGAGAGGAGGGAGGAACAGTCCTCCAGGCGAAGGCTCGCTGACATGGTCTGCGTGCTCACAGGATGACACGTCCCCACCGTGGAGAACACAGCCCAGCCTCAAACTTCAACCACAGAAGCACTGAGAACAGTCCTGGCCCTGCTGCTCAGGGAAACGGCCCCCCGCCTTACACCAGCCTCTACAATGACCCCAAAATGTCATTTCAAATCCACTCCCCTAACCAAAGCTTCCCTAAACTGTGGTCAGAGAAGCAAGATTTGGTTATAGAATTGGGGGCAAAGCATGGTCTCCTTCTGGTCCCCAAATTGGGACTGAAGCACTTAAACATGGACAGTCATAAAAACAGGAATCCTCCACCTAGAAATGAACCGTCTAAAAGGAGGTGAAGATAGGCTGTGGCTGCCTGGGTGGGGTTATAGTTAAAATAGTCCCATTTTTATCACTGGCCAAGGAAGACACCTCATGTTATTGGTGTCATACCAATCATATCAGCCTGCCTCTAGGAGCTTTTCAGGTTTGATTTCAACTCATTTCTACTTTAGAGCTAAGGAAACAAGCTCAGAGAAGTTAAATTACAGTTAACTACTTAATGTCTTTGTTTCTGCCCTAGAACACGCTGTTGGCATGGGAGAAACAGTGGGATGAACTTGAACTCAACTATAATCCTGGTTTTGAGCTGGTGTTTAATCACTTGAAGCCATGAGGCTGTACCCAAGGCCCTGGTCCCCAGTTCATACATTTAGAGCTTCCAGGCGGTTCTCATCATGATGATGAAATACACATCGGTGTCGATGGACGCGCTCACCCCTGCGTAGTAGTTCATAAACTCCTCGGGGGTCACCTGCAGGAGAGAGTTAGAAACAGAAACGAAACTTTGCTTCTGGCCGGCTCAGCGGGGCCCATCTCCAGGACCTGCCAATGAAAAGGACCTTCCAATCGAGGGAGCTGAGGAGTGGGTCTAAGACGCTAAGAACAAAGTGAAGTGAAGGGCGGTGGGTGTGGGAGGCACAGGGGAGAGAGGAAGAAAGGCTTGCAAATGTTCAGATCGGTGGCCTGAATGGAAAGTGAGATCCGGTTCTCTCTTTCTGTGCGAGCAGAAGCCCGTCTGTTCAGATAAGTGAGCCTGAAACTCAGAATAAGAATCAAGAGTGTTTAACTGCAGCTGATACTTTCTCTCTGTGACACACCAAAACAACCCCTCAGGCCCTTGTTTCAGAGCGAGTAATGTTTTACCTTTCAAAACGTGGAGTTCTGTCCTGTGGGTAAAGAAACCATTTCGAGTTAACCATGGTTAGAAAACTCATAAAATATGTTCGGGTTATCTACATACACTCTGTAACATCCTTACGGTATTTAAAATTATGAGAAAAAATTTCTATAGGAGATAGACTCATAGTCCCTCAAAGGCCAATGTCATCCAGAGTTTCAAAAATACTTATAATGAATATAACATTCACATATGCACACATGGACACTTCAAAACCTCAATATTTAAAAAATAAGAAGTGAAAGTCTTCCCCCAGTCAGGGTGGGGTTGAGGGGGAGAGTCGGGTGAGGACGGACAGCTTCACACATTATTTGGTGGCTTCTGTGCCTCCACCCAAATGGCTTCTGGCACCAGGCTGCCCAAGAGTGGAGGGTAGGGTGTGGCTGCAAGACCTATGACATCATTCCGTGACTGCGGCAAACCCCAGTGACTTCATGCTACGTGACAGCTGAGCCTAAGCTATTAAAAGCTCACCAAGTTGAACATCAATCTTGCCTAAGGAGTGCACCAACTTTCTTGTCTGATTCTAAATTCTTATTTGGATACCAACTTTATTTTTTAAGCATAACTGAGAACACTGGCTTCAAGGACAGTTATAACTTCACCATAAGAAGTCTTAGTGTGTAAAACAACTCAATTTGAAAATGATGAATTAGAAGCTAATTGTTCTCTTTATAAAAGAATTTACCCTGGACTTTCTTGACCTGGACAGGTCCTTGTGTGTTGAAAATATGATTCAACGCACAAAAGTTTAAATCACACCTCACTTGTCGGACACATTTTCATTCTGTCTAGTCAATCCCTGCAAAGCGCTTAACACAATGCCCCGTAGATAACAAGTGCTCAACAAATGGCGCCCTGACCCATAGTTATGCTAAATGAGATTAGTGTGTGCATTACAGCCAGCAGTTAAACACAGGCACTTCTGAATCTTTTAGAGGCAAGAATCTCAAACATGAATGTGAATAAGAGTTATCTGGGGCACTTATCACAACTGTCAATCCTTGCTTGAGCTCCACCACCGCCCCCCCCAAAAAAAAAATATCAGATTCTGTCGTTTATGCCATGCAGCCAGCAACTTGCATCATTAATAAAATAAGTAAATAAAATAAAAAGAATGATGACCATGCACAGTCAGAATGGAGTAGCAACACAGAGTCTGTGACGGTCAGGTGACAGTGAGTGCTGGAACTGCTACAAACCCCAGTGACCTTTCTGAGCTTACCATGCACGCTAAGGCAAATGTCAAAAGGGAGAGGGGTGGGAACTCGAATCAGCTGAATCACAACTGGCTGCGCTGACTGGGTTAGAGCTGAGGGCAGCGAGGTTTCCCGTGGCAACGAGGAGGAACCACCTGCAGAAGGGAGGCGAGCACCCCCGGATCCAGGTGGCGTTGGGCTAATTTGGGGAAACGGCAGTTGACTATTTTTCCACAGATCAAAGAGCAGCGATATTAGAAGAAAACAAAGAGTTCTGCTATCTCTGTCCCCAAGCATTTGCTCTATGGAATCTGGGACACACCCCCCCCCCTTGTTTTAATCTCCCCCTGCAATCCCCTGAGTCTAACGTGGAGGACACGTCTCTGTCCCCGGCAGGAAGATGCCAGTAGAAAGACAAGAACATGCTCACTCCTATCCCGCTCACCCCTGCTAACTGGACTCCCCAGGAGGCTTCGTGGAAAAGGTTGGGGAAAGTCCCTTCGAGGGGGAGGCTAGTTTCCCCTTCCTATCATCGCCATCTCTTCTTCCCGCCCACTGTCCCACTAATCCTTCTTGTGTGGCACAGGGGTTGGGGTGGCCTCCCCAGGGGTCTGCCCCGCTGACTATCAACCCAGGAGAGAATGCCCTTCCCCCATCACCATGGCCTTCCAGACACCTAAGAGCAGAGCTGGTTCTGGGTCCCAAAGTCCATTGATGGCTGTGGATAAGACTCATGGCATTTTGGTCTTAGTCTTAACATAATTATAAAGATATAATTCCTGCCCAGCCAGTGTTGCTCAGCAGTTGAGCATCGACCCAGGAACCAGGAGGTCAGGGTTTGATTCCTGGTTCAGGGCACATGCCTAAGTTGCGGGTTCGATCCCCAGAAGGGGGTGTGCAGGAGGCAGTCCATGGATGCTGGTCCTCTCTCATCGATGTCTCTGTCTCTCTCTCTCTCCCTCTCTTTCTTCCTCTCTCTCTACAAATCAATTTAAAAATTAAAAAAAAGAAAAGCGATAAGTGCTGAACCTACCAAGCTATGCATTTGTAACTTGAAAACAGGAGTTAATGGAGAGGGGGTGGTTGCTTTTTTTTTGTCTCTCTTCTCTCTCTCTCTCTCTTTCTCTCTCTTTCTCTCTCTCTCTCTCATTTTTATTGAATGCATTAGGGCAATGTTTGTTAATAATATAGGTTTCAGGTATACAATTCTCCAACACATCATCTGTATATTGTATTGTGTGTTCACCAACTCAAGTCAAATCTCCTTCCATCACCATTTATCAGCCCTTTACCCTCTTCTACCTCCCCCCACCCCTCTTTCCCTCTGGTACTCATCGTATTGTTGTCTGTGTCTATGAGTTTTGTTTTTGTTTGTTGTTGTTTTTTGGCTTAATTCCTTCACCTTTTTCACCCACCCTCCTCACCCTCTTCCCCCTGGCAGCTGTCAGTCTGTTCTCTGTATCTATGAGTCTGTTTCCATTTTGTTTGTTAGTTTTTTTGTTAATTAGATTCCACATATGAGTGACATCATATGGCGCTTATCCTTCTCTGACGGGCTGATTTCACTCAGCTTGAAGTTTACTGTGCTTTAGAAATGCAAGCTAATTACAAAGTCTACTGAAGATGAAATCAGAATAAATGCTGGCATTCCTTTCACTAAAGCTTCCCTTAAATGCCATTTCCGCAGAGCAAAGTGTGACGACAAATGAGAATGTGTGTAAAACAGCAGTGTCCTGAAAAGCCCTGTAAAAAGCCCAAAATATTGAATTATGGTCTCATTAAATATGTTTTTATAGTCTAGTTTGTTGGAAAGTGTCTAGCTGTGTGTAGTACATATGGTAACATGAAATGGAATGTTTAATCCAAATACCCCATTCTCCTGTTGATGGGTAACTAGCTGTGGGCAGATCCCCTACTGATATATGTACACACACACACACACACACACACACACACTTCTTACTACTGTAGTCTTCAACTTTCTAGGTAGTCACTAAGGATATGTTTTACTTCTATTTATAGCATCTGTAACATAAGTATTTTTAAAGCTTTGAGCCTACTTCCTATATATTTACAATTCCAAATTGGACAGAAGAAATTCCACTTGGATTACGCACTTACCAATCCGTCTTTGTCATAGGGGGAATCAAAGTTATCCAGAAATTTCCGGAACACTTGTTCCTCAGACCAGTCTCCGTTCTGGTACTTGGGATGGTGTTTCACGTTGTACACCCCCCGGAGGTCTTCAATGGTTATGACGCCGTCTCCAGTCTTGTCTAACTTGCGGAACGCTTGCATAATCACCTCTCTTCTGGCTCTGGACATTGGGGGCTGGGTAAATAGAAAAGGCACACACAGACGGACACAACCAGAGGAGCTCTTTTGTACCCCACGTGATAAACCATCTATTCCTCCCCATGATGTGTAATTAGAGGAATTAATTAGCTGTGTGCCATGACATGGTTTGCACATGAACGCCCCCAGGTCCCTAAGTCTGCTCTGCCTCTCCCGCCCATCGCCTTCACAGAGCACTCCCCGCTTCTGAAAACAAAACCTCACGATGGCCAACCCAGACCACATGGAAGTCACACTGGCCAGACCCACTGGCTCCTGGGCCACTTACTCTCAAGGTGAGCAGAAACTCGTTGAAGTCTATTGTTCCATTTCCGTCTTTATCGAACCTCCGGAAAAGCTCCTCTGCCTCCTCCTTTTCCATGACCACCGCGTAGTCATTTAACCCTTTCACGAATTCTTTGAAATCAAGAGTTCGGTTATTATTGTCATCCATGATTCGAAACACTCTGAAGAAAATACACACACACAATTTTTTCAAAAGTCACAGAGCACAAGACTTATAAAGAAAACCACTCTCAGGGCTTTTCAAGGTAAAATACAGAAGTCTTCGGTTCTTCCCCGTGCCCACCTCCTGAACCTGGCCAGTCTCTTCCCAGCATTTCATAAAAGCAAAAAAAAAAAAAAGTACTTTGGGGGGAAATGTCCTGTGTAATTCCAAGTAAATGACATTCTGGCAAAACTATAAAAACAGTCAAAAGATGGGGGAGGCAACAAAATGGGTGAAGCATGGGGGATTTTACAATGAAACCGCTCTGTGTGGCATATGGTGGTGGATACATGACATTCCGCATTTGCTAACGCCCATGAACATGCACAGTACAAAGAGTAATCAGCCCTAACCTGTTTGGCTCAGTGGATAGAGTGTCGGCCTGCAGACTGAAGGATCCCAGGTTCGATTCCGGTCAAGGGCACATCCCCAGTAAGGGGGTGTGCAGGAGGCAGCTGATCGATGTTTCCCTCTCATCGATGTTTCTGACTCTCTATCCCTCTTCCTTCCTCTCCATAAAAAAATCAATAAAATATATTTTAAAAAAGAGTAATCAGTAATGTATATGGCTTTTTAAAAAATACTTAGAAGGCCAGGGAATCCCAGACGGCGACCAGTGGATCTGACTGCACTATAAAGGTTTGAGACAAGCTCACTGAAGGGCGGGGGGGTGAGGGGCTGACTTAACCAACTTTGGAACTGAATCGAGTCGGTAAGACTACAGGGGCAAGGAGCTGCACACAGCCCTCCCCTCTGCTGATAAAGGCACTTCCCATGGAGATGAGCTAATGACTGGGCCCTGCTGTTCGGGTGTATTGGAATTGAACAATTAAGTAAATGGATGGCAGATGCGGGGAGCCAGGTTTCTCACTGTGGGAAAGGGCATGAATCGATAAGCTAGGGGAGGAGGCCAGAATGATCTGATTCACCCGGAAATAGGTTAGAGTTGGAGACATCCGTATGAGCTCCAGTTTAGTTTGACATAAGCACTGATGATTACATATAACATTTATAGAAATATAGATAAATAGATAGATTAATATACACACGTATATTTCCTTGTTCTGTCAGCTCAGAGGACCTAGAAGTGACACGCCAGCAACAAGAAGCACCTCTGGAGCCTAGAGCTTGGTGCCTAACACAAGTCTCCAATAACCGGAAGTGGGCTTCTTAGAGAAATTGCTGACTCGAAGATGGGGGCAGAATATATGTGAGATGAGCTTTAGTATCTCGTACCCGAAAGTAAGAAAGTGCCCCAAACAAACACACAAAACCTTACAGAGATGTGGATACGTCAATGGGGCCCAGGGCCAACAGAAAGAACTCCTAAGATAAAACTAGAATAATCTGAGCAATAAATTAAAGTAGTGTTGGGTTGTAACCTAAAGTATGAAATAAATACCCATGAGTCCATATTGGTGTAGGTAAATGGTTGAATAAATAAATGTGGGGGAAGAGACAGCTTGCTCTTAAGGAAGAATTCCAAATAGATTCTGTTCACGCTCTGCCCTCGAGGAGGAAAAGCATAGTCCCCTCTGCCTACATTTTAGAGGCTTCACAGAGACTTCCTTCCAAAGAATGCCATAGGCAGAGGGAGGGGGAGCCGGACAGACACTGTCTCAGGCAGGTGATCCAGGCCAACACCAATAGTGAGAAATCAGGTTGACACCATGCATCCTTGAGAGGATACTGTGGTCCCAGACAACCGTAACCCCGTCTAATCGTGAGGGGAAAGGGGGAGGGACCCCCACTTCAGTTGAGGAAAGATTCAGGGAAGGGCAAGACCAGTAAAGGGGAGGGGGCAGAGGGCACAGCCCAGCAAAAGGCCAAGGATGAGATAGTGCCTGTTCACAGTAGACTGGCTCTCGGTGGAGGGGCTGGTAGGGTGTGGGGTGGAGACGGCGGTGGCAGCAGGAGGGACTGGACTGGATGGCCCAGGAGAGGAAGAGGGGGTGGTGGCCCTGAGGGGTCTGTGCCAAGGACAATGAGGTGGACCCAGGATGAGAGATGCCAAGGTTGAAGTGATATGACATGGAAGGGAAGTGGGCGGGGCTTCCCATTGGACTGTGACAGCCTGGCCACCGGGCCCCTATGCCCACAGACCTGGGCTTAGGTGAGAAAGTGGGACTGTTGAAAATGACACTCCCGGCGCACAGCACCTGTGGGAAGTGAAGCCTCCCACAGCCTCCAGGTGTGGATCCCTGTGTAGTGGCTCTCGGCCTCCTAGTCCAAACTCCTCATGAGCCCTGGAGGAGCTTGTTCCCATGGGAGTCCCCGTGAGTCACCTGTGAGTCCCCGGACCTGCACAATGCCCAGGGCAGGCACCAATCAGGGGGGCTTACAATCCTTCCCGCGGGGCTTCCCAGTCCCAGGGACTCCTCGCTCTAGCAGAGGGCCGAGACCAGGCCCTACAGAGCTGGGGCCCCCTGGCGCTGAGCTGAAACCATCCCACGGGCGATTTCAGGGCCCGGGCAAGTGAGCGAGACAGGACCGCCTGAGAGGGAAACCACATTCTACAGCCATGTCTCAGTCACTGCCCTCCCCCCTCCTCCGAGCCCCTGTGGTCGCAGCTTCTGGAGCCGCTCCCTGTGCCGCACTTTCTCAGTGCAGACATGGGCCCGGCCGAGCCTGGGACTAAGAACCAAACATGGTCCAAGGGATCAGTTCTCCCACCCTTGGCATTGACGATGCAGGAACCGAGAGCCCAGGAAGAAGAGGTGTGCTCAAGGCCACACCGGTGTCCGCCCCGCCTGGCGTGTCCTGCCTTTCTCCTCCATGTCCCCGCCACCAGGGCCCGGGTCCTACCTGCCAAGTCCTTTGATGCCCGCGGAGCCCCGGGCCAGGCACTGCAGCCGGAGCCGCTCAATGGGGTCGGTGGCCGTGGTGAGCTTTTTCTTGGCCTGGACCGCCATCTCTCGGTCGTGGCGCGCTGTCCCCGCCATCTGAGAGGGAAGCCACAGCCCATCAGCAGAGCGCCGGCCTTGTCACCTGCCTCTGGCTGGACATTTATCTCACTCACTTCCCAAGGACACCCTCAAACCTCCCAGGTTTCCCAGGCTTAGGTGTGCCTGTCACCTTCTCACTTACTCCTCTGGTCCTGAGGAATCTGATTTCTGCAACCTGGACAATAGCTTCAAACATGCGGCCATTCCTCTGTATGTTTTCACCTTTCTGAGCTCCCTGCCACCCCTTCCCCCCACCCCCACCCCACCCCCCGCTGCCGCCCCCGCTGCCGCCCCGCCATCACATGCAGCCCTTTTCTCTCAACTCTTTTTGAGCCAACCTTCTATGCTGTATGCTTTTTTGTTGTTGTTGTTAATCCTCACCCAAGGACATTTTCCCATTTAGTTTTAGAGAGAGTGGAAGTGAGGGGGAGAGACAGAGAGAGAAACACTGAGGTGAGAGAAACACATCGATTGGTTGCCTCCCACAGGCGCCCTGACCAGGGCTGGGGATCCAGCCTGCAACCGAGGTACGTGCCCTTGACCAGAATTGAACCCAGGACCCTTCAGTCTGGGGGCCAATGCTCTATCCACCAAGACAAACTGTCTAGAGCTATGCTTTATTCTTTTCCTTAGAATTCTCCATTTTTCCTTTGACTCCACATCTAATTTTCTCCTTTTTGGTCCAACCATTCATTGTTGTTGCTTCTGCCTCCACTGAGATTCTCAACACTGATTCCTCCCGCAACTAGTATGTCTTCCTTGATTAACAGGTTAGTGTCCATTTAACACCTGACTGGGTTCTCAGGACAGAAACAAGGTAAATAGACACCATCTCTCCGGACAAACAGATTTATCTTTTTTTTTCCTCTTGTTTTGCTTGTTTTAAATATGCAGAAGTGGGAGGGAGGGTGGGTGTGGCGAAGCTACAGCTCTTAGGGGTCCCTGAGCGATGTACAGAGTCCTGCAGGTGGGCCTGGGTTCTGAGAACCCCCATGATAGTGCAAACCCCAGGGCTGGGAGCCTGGAGACCGGGTTCTAGTTCTGAGTCGTGCACGAAGGCACCAGGCACCAGGGCAGGAGTCTGTCCCAAAACGTATCACCGAGATCACAGCACTGCACACAGCTTCCCTGACTGCAGAAAACCCTGTCCGAGCACCTGGGAGTCTGCGTGGTCACAACAGAGCCCACCCAGCCAGGCCCTGCCAGGCCCGAAGATGCTGACCATCCGATGCACGTGGCCGCAGCGCCCCCTGGTGCTGGCATCGCGTCTGCGCATCCCCGGGGCCAGGCGCTCTGTGGGTCCATTGCTTCAACAAGTGTCTGCAAAGGCTCAGGGCGTGCAGCGCCCGGTGCTGGGGCGGGAAAGAGGCCGTGAGGGACGGTGCCCAGGGCCTGCAGGAGGGGGGGCGCCACCCACTACTGAGCTGCAACACGTGGGACCAGGGCGGCCACCCGCTGGGAGGGGGGCTTTCTGAAGCCTCAGAGGAGGAGAGGTCCGCCTTCATCCTAAGAAAGGGGGCAGCTCTTCGTCCTGGGGCCCTGGGGAAGGAGGAAGGAGGGGCAATGTATATTCCCGAGCGCTGGGGGCAGTGATGAGAAAATAGCAGGATGCAGGCGTGTGAGTGGGACTGGAAAGTTGGGGGGTGGGGTCCTGGGCGAGAGAGAGTCGTGGAGATGGGGAGCGGATGTAGGGAGGGGAGGTGGGAAGGGGAACTGGAGACAGGGGACCCTGGGCAGATCACACAGAGCCTGGGACACCGGGTCGGGAGTTTGGGTTCCGTGCTGAGAGATCTTGCTGGTGGCTCCCCACCCCGCACCCCCACCCCGTGGCCGGTGCACAGGGACAGTCACGGAGCGATGCAGTGCAGAGGCCTGGAGAGGGCGGCACAGGCTGGGGGGCGCCAGCAGCACAGCCCAAGCACCCTTTGTGGCATCGCAGCAGGTCTCCTTCGTCCCGCGGTCCTGGGCGCAGCTGCCTGCACTATCAACGCCCGCTGCCTGGTGTGGAGAAGCACGGTGGGCCATGGAAATCTGACAGCTCGTGGAGGCTTGTCTTCGTGACTCAGCAGAGTCCATGGGAGTCCTCGTGCTGAATTCAGGGACAGGTTACTGACTGGGAGAGGGGGAACCACTCAAGCCCCAGGCTGCACTTTATTGGGTTGTCTTTGGTGCCTCCTAGTGGCAATGAACTGAATTACACATTCTAATCTCTGCCTGCCTCCCTCCGCCCCCAAGGCTGGGTTGAGTCTACAGCCAACAACCTGCAACACGGAGGGTGGTCTTAGGGCCAAAGAGGGCGCCCCCCAGGCATCCATAAAGGGAAAGCACCCCAAATCCTCTCTGATGCAAAATCCAAAGGAAAGTTCTCACTCCGCCCTCTGAAGAACTTTGGTTTCTCTGACACTACAGCCCAGTTTTCCTCTCTCAGGAAAAGACAGGTGGTCACATGAAGGCGCTGAAGCAGGTGTGGTGAGTTCAGAGGAGCGTTGGTCTGTGTAAGGGCAGGGGGGCAGGGGGAGCACAATTAGGAATCAGGAAGGCACTGCAAGCACGTGGGTGCGGGAGGGAGCCAGGTGAGTCCTGTCCACCCAGTGAGGAGGGAGAGCAGGCTCACCTGGCTGGGCAGGGAGGTCCCTGAGCAGCCCTTTGCAGGCCCTGCTTGGGGTGCTGAGATAGACGGGGGCCAGCGTGCACTGGGAGGAAGTGCCCTACTGAACAGATGACATAGCCCCGCCTGTGAGAACTACCTGCAGAGCAGGCCAGTCTCCCCAAGGCCTCCCCCGCCTGGAAGCCATGGAGCCCATTCCCCCACAGCCAGGCCTTGCAATGCTTTCCCTTCACATTTTTAGGCAGCACCTGTGCCATTGCATTAGCCATTTCAATAGCAGGGGCCTGGAGTTGCTGTAGTAGCACCATGTGATCTCAGAAAACATTCTGCTCTTTAGAGAGAAGAGAGGAGAAAGCCAATGTAAAGAGCAGGTAGCTACTGATCGCACTTGCCAGGCCTCACACCGGTCCCCCGCAGCAGGAAATGTATTTGCTGCAAATGAAGTTCACATCCAAGTCAGCATGATTCCCGCCCCTGCTAGCTCCGTCCTGACCTGCGAATAGGGCCCGGTCCCGGGGGACGGCCAGACCTGCGGGGTTTTCTTCTTTCTCTCTCTACTTGGGACCTGGCTGTGAGACTGAAATGTTGACTCAGACTCAGTGGAGTTTGTTGTACTTGAAGGCAATGGCTGCCACCTCTTCTGACTCAGTTCGTTCAGTAAGTTAGCTATTACTACACGGTCGGTGATGAAAACTGGGGGGTCCATAAGGAGTTTCCCCTGAGACAGGGCCCCTCTGGAGTAAATATTCGGACCCAGTGCTCAGCGTGGCCCGGCAGGCGGCGAGGATGTCCCGGTTCCGAGTCGGAGAGGAGAGACTCAGTTTGAAAAGAGGGCCGGTTTCTGCTGTAGAAAACTGGAAGCCCCCAAAGAGATCTACGGACAGGTGTGCGTCAGTGTCCACATGAGAGTTCCTTCATCGAGCCCCCCTGTTTTCACTGTCATTCGCTAATTAGTAATATCAGTCAGTAATACCAATAATAAAAAACAGCAAACGGGAGGCCAGACGTTCTAAGCGTGGTCATCTGGGCAGCGTCCCCGGGTGACTGCAACTCTCACGCTCCCCAGGGAGAGGCGGGTCCATTCCCTAAGTCCCTGGGCGGAGGGATGGCACAAAGGGGAGATAGGCACATGCGCAGTGAAGTCCAGGTGGCAGAGGGGCGGGGCTTGCTGTCAGTCTAGCCTGGGAGCTGGGGGGGGAGGGGTGGGGGGACCCATCAGGAGCATCAGCACATCACTTCATGGGGTGGGTTCTATCAAAATTGATGCCCTAGGGCAGTGATGGCGAACCTTTTGAGCTCGGCGTGTCAGCATTTTGAGAAACCCTAACTGAACTCTGGTGCCGTGTCACATATAGAAATTTTTTGATATTTGCAACCATAGTAAAACAAAGACTTCTATTTTTGATATTTATTTTATATATTTAAATGCCATTTAACAAAGAAAAATCAACCCAAAAAATGAGTTCGCGTGTCACCTGACACGCGTCTCATAGGTTCGCCATCTCTGCCCTATGGGATGTCAACAGGGACCCCGAAAGCCGGGCCACTTGCCCGAGAATGTGCCACAAGTCAGGGGCCGGGTCAGGACTGACATCCAGTTGTAAGCGGTCGCACTCGGCAGCTCCGCCAACGTGCTGGCAAATCGCTCTGGGAATTCAGAGAAGGTCCGTGAAATGAGAAGAAGGAAAGAGCCAGCTTCAAGGAAGAGTCTGCCCGGCGTGCCGGGAAGATTTTACCGCGGAGAGAAGTGGGGGACATGAGTGCAGAGCAAAGCCTGACACCACGGGCCCTACACATCCTAAACATGCCCCCCACACCCCTCACCTCGGGGTCCTTCCTTGAGTTTCCAAAACCTTACGGCTCACTGTGGACTCTGACTCACTGACTGGGCAATTTCACTTAGTCTCTTCCTCTTGGAGCCATAGTTTTGGGTTTGTTTGTTGGTTTGTTTGTTTAAATAAAGTGATGTGTCCTGTGTGTGTTTTTAAACTTAAACTCAGAGCTACTGTGCCGATTATCTTCTATTCATTTATTCTTTTCCCAAACGTCATTTCAAACGTTGTTTCTGCAACGTGCAAATATAGGAAAGATTTGGTTTGGGCTTGGCTTGCCAACTCCCACATAAGAGTTAAGCATGGTTCTATGTCATCTATATTTACCACATAAGCTTACTGTGGAAATAAGAAGTCACCGAAGTCCGGCATCTCACCACAATTTCCTCTGCACCCAAGTGCGTTTTCTTAAGATGTTTAAAATTCAGGTTTCAGCCATGTCGATATGCAGGTACTCCCAGAGCCCATCTCTGTGAACTGTAGTCTTTTATTCTTCCCACTGATCTTTGGAATATGAATTAAGTCCTTATTTTAATGGTTATGATATGGCCCAACTTAAAAATGTTTCATGCCGAAACCGGTTTGGCTCAGTGGATAGAGCGTCGGCCTGCGGACTGAAAGATCCCAGGTTCGATTCCGGTCAAGGGCATGTACCTGGGTTGCAGGCACATCCCTGGTGGGGGATGTGCAGGAGGCGGCTGATCAATGTTTCTCTCTCATCGATGTTTCTGACTCTCTATCTCTCTCTCTTCCTCTCTGTAAAAAATCAATAAAATATATTTTTTTTAAAAAAAAAGAATGTTTCATTGATATCGTTGTTATAAAGTATTTACTTCATACAAGTTCTGGATATTTCACATTATTCATTCAACCAGGGGTGGGACTAGACTAGGTAAGGTAGGTGCCTAAGGCACAATGTTTAAGGTGGCCCTCAATCTCAAGATTGTGCAAATGGCGGCCTTGCACTTGCCCAAACCTGAGAGTGAGTGTTTTCTTAAATAGTTTACCCCAGGTACCTACCACGCCTCCCCCAAGTCCTGGTACTAAATTCAATATATGTTTATTGGATGCTTGTTATGTGCCACACAATAGCAGTGAATGAGACAGCCAAGGTCCTGGTCAGGCGTTTACCCTCCTCAGGGTAGTCTTAATTGTGTTGAATTTGAATTACAAACGTGTTCCAGACACTGCCAGCTGGCTGATTCAAAGGCCATGCCAGCCTCCTTTCTTCAATACATTCCCGTTTCAGTTGGGGGCCACGTGAAACAAGTTCTGACCAAAGAGAGTCACCTGGAAGTTCTGAGGGCTCAGGGCAAGTGCTCCTATCGCTTTGCCTCCTCCTGCCTTGAACAGAAATGCAATGTCTGGAGCTATGGCAGCCTTTATGCAACCATGAGGGAAGAGCCAAGAGAATCACAGACACCAACTTAGAGGCCTCGTGTCTCTGAGTGTCTGAGTCGGTGTAACCAGCTGCCTAAGGTCACACTCCTGTCACGGGAGAAACACAAGCTTCTATTTGTTGGCTGCATTGTTGGTCAGGGCCACTGTTACTTGCAGCCAAAGGTTTCCCTAACTGTTACAATCGGCAAACGCTCCCTCCTTCAGTGTTTGGGTTGGCCCTGGTGACTGACCTTGGCCGGTGAAATAACTAGCAACCCAGCGTGGGGAGAGGTTCGGCCCCCTCTTCTCTCAGTGGCATTTTATCCACATTTAGGAGCCTCTCGGTGTTTCTGGCTATGAAAGAGTGAGAGAAACTGCTTAGCATGTTACTCAGGGACCCACGCAGCTGACACAACGTGCTACAGACCCAAGTTTAATAAAAGTCAGAGGCCCAGGGTGACTGGTCCTTGTCATCATGAGCTTCCCCTGGGCGTCTCCTGCCCCAGCTGCCTCATAGCCCTCTCCTTGCCCTCCCCCCTCCCTCTTCCCTCTGCTCCACCTTCAGTCTCTAGGGTTTTTCCCAAGAAATTACTGGCAATCTATTCTGAGTCAGGCAGCCAGGCAGGTGGAAGGTCTTAAAGAAGCAGAGTGAGAGAATATCTAAACTGCAGGAAGGACGCACGGCTTCGGCTGGGTTTGTTTTCCTAAAAAGAACAAAGGAACAGAGCTTGTCCTGAGCTCGCAGGTTTCATGACTAAACTCTCAGAAACAACCAACCCAGCAGGTAATTTCCAAAGGCCCCGTTTTGTTCGGGGTCCAAACCCGCTGAAAGGACAAACCCCACTGGGCCTCATCCTCCACCAGCAGATGATGGAGAGACACAGCTCTGGCTACCATATGGCTTCTGCAACATGAATCACCACAATCACCTACGTGTAACTCTTTTACAGTCACTGGGAATGCTCCTTTTGGAGTCACTGGTCTGTTGAATGTTTATTTTGTAGCCACTTAGAAACCCAGTCAATTGTTTGTATCCTTCCTGCTCTAAACTGAAACTTCCAGAAAAAAATCAAGAGGTGCTACGCAGCAGCGAGGTTCTGGGGCTCCTTGATTCCCCTGGCCTCCCCTGCTCCCTTTTTCCACAGGCCTCCCCAAGACCGTCTCTTGCATTTTGTCACCAGCCAAAGCTGGTCTCCTCTGAAAGCTCAAATTCAGCCTCCAGCTCCTGCCACCGCTCAGTGTCGTTCTCCAACCACAGGTGCTTGTGACCTTGGGAACTGCTAGACTCCTGAGCCTGCATTTTCATCACAGCCATTGCCGGCTTATTCCTCCCCTCCCCGTTCTAGACACTTGCATGCATCATTCTGACCACTCCTTTCCAGCACCTTCTCTCTCATTCTTCCCTGTGAGTCTCCCTCCATCCCTCATTTAACCTGCCTGAGCTCAGTGTTATCAATGGTCACCCAAGCTGGTTACGGCAGTTCCACCACACACTGCACACTCCAGTACCCACCACACAGGGGCTGCTGAGTGATCTTCATTTCCTTCTCCTACCCCGAATGAAATGCATGACTGTACACCTGCATCTCACACCTAGTCCCAGAGATGAGGCCACCAAGAGCTCGCATCAACCTTTAGAGTTTCTCTTTGGAAAATACCATCTATCTTATTATTATTATTATTATTATTATTACTGCTATTATTGTTACTATTTAGCCAAAACAAAATAAAAGTGGTAATAAATTTGTAAAAGTTGATTTACCTTAAATGCGAACCTGTTGCCACCAGTTGCTTGGAACTGAAACTATGGACGCTCTCTCCTGCATCTGGAAGATAGGCCCCGCCCCTCCCCTTTGCCTCCTCCCTCTTACCTATCCTCACACCTCCTTGCCTGCCTTCTCCCTGCCCATTGGCTGGCTAGGAATACCTGCTGCAGACTCACAGCCTGATTGGCTCAGCTCGCTGTCAATCCCTAGGGCCTGGCCTTTTCTCAAGTTTACAGTGTGGTTGCCTAGGAGATCCAGGGGCTGTGAGAGTCTGTTTGCCCTAAGAGAAAAGCCAGTGGGAAGCTTCACTGGCAACTGTTTGGTTTCTAGAAGGGCATTGGAACTTGCCTCCCATGTTTTATCAGAGAACCTTCAGCAAATTCTCTGACTTCTCTTAGGCACCCCCTTCCTGGCCTCCTGTTGTCCCCGCAGGGCTCACTGCCAGGCTGTGTCAGCAAGCAGCACACGGGGGAGCAGGCAGGTGCAGTTACAGGGACTGAGTCCTCCCCCCCACCCCCCAACACACACACACCCATCCACTCGCCCATAGGATGTCGTCTCCTCCTGTGCCGACCATAAGACTGCAAAGACTTTCTTTTAGAACTTTTGTATGCTCAGCATTTATTTTTAGATCTATGATTCGAGTTAATTTTCGTGTATGGAAAGCAACAGGCAATGTCCCCTGTGTATGTTATTTAGATCAAGTCCCATTCAGATATACTATTGTTCCAGTACAATTTGCCGGAAAGATTTTACTTTTCCCACGGAATTCTCTCTGCATCTTTGTCAAAAACCAACTGAACATCCTCATGTGGGTCTATTTCAGAATTTTTAAGATGTGTCTGGAGCGGTAACTAGACACAAGTCAGAGGGGCCTTGGCTTCCATGGGATGGAGCCACCAACAGAATATTCCACCTAAAGGAATATTCTCTACCGCAGGGGGTAGGGGGGTTGGCAAGTGGCATGTTTCCTAAATCAAGACGGTCTGGGGCACCACCACGGCCCCCGCACCTGAGGCCCAAAGCCTTCCGTGTGGGCTCCAGGGTTTCTGTTACCTCACCTCTGACCGTGGGAACCTGGAGAGGGGACCTGTGACCACTGGGACACAGCATCGCCTGTGGAACCAGGCAGGCCCCTCAGGACCAGCAAAGGAGGAGCTTCGCAGGAGGGGACTCGGGGCAGAGACGAGGGGGGTTCTAGGAGGGGCTGTCCCTGCCTCACTGGGGGAGAGGATGGGCTCTCTGAGCTTTGAATGAGATGAGAAGGAGATGCAAGAGGTTGGTCCACAATGGAAGAACTGGCCAAATAGCTTCTGTCCTATTCATCAAAAGCGTAAAAAGAAGAAAGGGGAAATAGAAGTCCCTAGACAGGGGGATGAAATAGAACACTGAGTCTAGGGACAGGGAGTGGGGAGGAAACGGGGCTGTCTGGTGATGGTTTGAGCCTGAATAGAGGGGCTCATGGGTGAGGGGCAAGTCAAGAAGCCAAGGTCAAATTCATAGACACAGGAAGTAGAACACAGGTTCCCAGGGCCTTGGAGTGGGGACGGGGAAATGGGGAATTATTGTTTAATCAGGGCACAATTTTAATTTGGGAAGATGAAAAAAGTTATGGAATTGGATGGTAGTGGTGTTTGCACAAATATATGACTGTACTCAATGCCACTGAACTGAATACCTGATGGTTCAAATGGTCATTTTTATGTGATGTATATTTTACCATAATTTTAAAAAAGAAGCCCAACATTGCTGCATAAGACTATCTAAACAGAGGCAGAAGAGAGCGAGAAGCCGTTCTGGTGCCATGGCCCACGTGGGGGTGAGGGGGACCCAAGGGGAGGCCTGTGCTGGGGGAAGTCTTTAGAGAACCAGCGGCTCCCCAGCAGCCCTGCAAGTCTGCTCTGCGCATCAGGCCTCCTTCAGCTTCCCGGCCCCACACAGCCCCCGGGCCACTAGGCCCAGCAGCTTCCCACAGAGCCACACGATGCCCAGGGTGACCCCCAGCAGGAACAAGAAGATGTCCAGCAGGTACTGCTCATACCACGGCTGCTGGAAGGCGTGGGGCTTGAGGTGGGCCGCTCCCCCGGTCTGAAGGATGTGGTCGATCCAGCCCACCAGCCGCTGAGCAGGGGTCAGGGGGTGTGAGCGCCTGATGATGCTGGCGGCCACCGCTGCCGACTTGTAGCTGTTGGCAGATTCGCACACACACACACACACACACACACACACACAATGTGCAAATATATATATTGTATATATATTTGTGTGTGTATATATACACATATAAACTTATAATATACACATGTTTTGTTTATATAGACATGTATTTATGCATGCTATATATATACACACACACATGGGCATATACATGTATATGTATGCACACTATATACATATGTATGTATATATGCACATTCTGTATATATGCATATGCATATACATGCTATGATCAGTCGAAGGAATGTCAAAGGTCAAATGTTAAATATTCCATCAATTCTGAGGCCAAAGCTGATTCCAACTATCACAGAGTAAATTTCTGAAGAATTCCCAAATTGGACTTTTCTTGAAATTTTCATGTCCTAAATGAATTTTAAATCATTAAAAAATAAATTTTAAATTAGCAAGGTCTTTGGATTATAAATCCTGGAACAATAAATAATTCTATAAACTTGAATTATGTTTGTTATTTCAATTCTTATTCTTCCTTGTGTTTGTTATTTACATGTTTACAAACTTTGAATGAAAGACACCTAAATTTTGGGCCTGATAAACAAGAAAAATGGAGTCACAATTTACAACATGGAGATTTGAGCAGCAGGCTTAAGGGTGTTGGGCACAGGCCAAAGTTGCTGTTTGGTCATGGTAAGTTTAAGATGCCTGCTTGACAATGAAGAAGAGATGCCAGTTAGCAGGGTGATAAGATATACTGCAATTAGCAAAAAGGTTTGGGTTGCAGATAGCAATTTGGAAATCAGCATAGGTCTATAGAGGGTATTTCAAACATGAGACTGGGCAAGAACCCCAGGAGTTAAGCGTAGATTAGAAATGAGTTGAGACCCAAGGACCAGGTCCTGGTGAGGAGCCCTACAAAGTCTGGAGGCTGTGGAGTTGAGGAGGAATCAACCAAGGAGACTGAGAAGAGCAGCCAGTGAAGGGAGGACACTAAGAGAGGATGGTGTCTGGGTCAACTGCAGTCACTGTTCAAGGACAGGCAGTGACCTGTTGGGATGAATGATGCTGATGAGACTTGAAAAGGCGTCCCTGGCTTTGGCGGTGTAGAAGCCACTGGTGACCTGGGTCAGAGCTGCTGGGTGGAGTGAGGGAGCCTTACTGAAGCGGGCTGATGAAAGAATGTGACAGGAGGAAGCGTTGACAAAGAGCACAGAGTTTACAGGGAAGGAGAGCAGAGATTGGGAGTATATCCAGAAGGCGAAACAGTGTCAGGATGGTTTGTTGTAAGTCGAGGGCCCTTCAACGGTGAAGTTCTGGACTCTGATCATTGTACTGTGGCTCTGTGGGAAAATGCTTCGTTCATGGGAGACACAGGCTGAAGTCTTTAGAGGTAAAGTATTATAATGTCTGCAACAAATTCTCAAAGGATGCTGCCATTGATACACAGGTATAACATTCGGCGAAACACAGAGAACAAATATGGCAAAATGTTAATACATGTTAATATAAGTGAAGGGTACACAAGTGCTTATTGTATTATTCTTACAACTTTTCTGAGAGTTTGAAACTTTTCAAAATAAAAAGTTGAGGAAAAACAACTTTTGAGAGTTATTATAGCAAGTCGCTTTTCAGTTGGTGAAAGTGTTCCTAGAGAAAGAGAACGGCAATCATGCAGGAGACAGTGGGGCAAGTCGCAGAAGCAAACGCTGTGAGTGGGTGAGAGGATGTGATCCTCTACCTCCGGGCAGGGCCTGGTCTCCACAGGGGACACACAAGAGCGGGCGGAGTAGAGGGAGGCAGGCAGGGAGGCAGCAGGTTTGGCACGTAGGCTGGTAAATTTGGTGGTGCGCACATGCTGGTGGCTTCTCTTTTTTTTTCAGTAAAATAAAACAAAGAAGAGATACACCAGTGATGGCGAACCTATGACACGCGTGTCAGAGGTGACACGCGAACTCACTTTTTTGGTTGATTTTTCTTTGTTAAATGGCATTTAAATATATAAAATAAATATCAAAAATATAAGTCTTTGTTTTACTATGGTTGCAAATATCAAAGAATTTCTATATGTGACACGGCACCAGAGTTAAGTTAGGGTTTTTCAAAATGCTGACACGCCGAGCTCAAAAGGTTCGCCATCACTGATGTAGACTAATTATGAAACACATTATGGAGGGAATCATATGGCATAACTGGGGTTGATCAGAGAAGGCCTCTCTGCAGAGGAGATATGGGAGGTGAAAGGGAGAGAATGTTCAGGAACAGCTAAGGACGGAGGCCAGTAGAGGAAAGAAATATGAACATGAAGAGATAAAAGAAGTCCCACACACCCCACAACTGGTTAGAATTGCATATTATGCATATCAAGAGAACAAAAACTCTAAGAGAGAAACTCTTGTAAAGTTTCTTTTAAAAATAAAATTCTCCCTATCATCTGTCCTAAATCCCTCTTATCGAAACAGAAGGCTCATTTGTCTACCTTGGCGTTCAGTGGAAATAGGTCCATTGGCATCTTAACACTAAGTTTAGTTTATTCGAGGGGAGGGGACCCTCTGGTCAGATCTACTACATACCTCTTGTCTCCGATGACTTGTTTCATCTTAAGAGCCAGGGTCTCCGCCTTGAGTTGTTCAATTGGGATGGTGACGCCTAGATGTTTGGCTTCTACTCGGACTAAGTTTCCAGGCTGGTCTACAAAGAGAGGAATGCCCACCATGGGCACGCCATGCTGGATGGATTCCATCACACTGTTCATCCCTCCGTGGGTGACAAACAGGCGGATGCTGGGGTGAGCTAGGACAAAGAGGAACGAGAGGAAGGATAAGGCCTAAGAAGGAATTTCCAGAACTTGGGACCGCGTCATTGTCAGGGAAACGTGATAAGGGACTCTAGAGGCATCTGGGAACCAATGTGAAGAGGCAATTGCCTGGGAGACACTGTGAGCACCCTCAGAAGCATGGGTCTAAGACCTGAACCAGAGACCAGCTGCAGCTGAGAATGCGGAGACAGAACTAAGCTCAGCGTCTCCCAGCGCTCATCCATCTACCCGTGCCGCCTCCCTCCACATCATCCTTAAGCAGGGAGTGTGCCTTATGCCTTAGTAATGCCAGTCCCAGTCCTACTGTCCCTCTCTCATTTGGAGCAAAATAAAGTGTTGAGGAAGCATTGATCCAGCCCAGGAACCCGGAAACAATGTGCTTTTGTAGAGTGCAATGCTCGGGCTCTACCACAGGCCAGTGAAATACATTTGCAGGAGGAGAACCAAAACCTGCATTTCTAATTCACCAGGACACTCAGATCCCACCTGCCGCTATGCACAGGAGGTGTCCCCAGAGGGCAGCACAGGCCAGAGAGGAAGCCCCTTGGTGACTGTCAGGACCACTCAGGACGATGAGGAACACTGTCACACTGCAAGGCCACCTCGGGTGAGGAAGAGTCAGCTCAGTGTCTGTGTGTAATGAGCAGGCGGCTGGAGCCACTGTGCAGCAGCGACTTCCCTCCTGTGGGCACAGGTACATCCCAAAGGACTATGGGCGCTTCTTGGGGGGGGGGGGGCTGATCTCGATCCCCTGCCCATTGCAAGTCACCCCTCTGGAAGGTGGCTAGTGGGCTGGGCACAAATGAATGAAGCGAGCCCAGAATGCCAAGCTTTCCTGGAACTTGGCCTTTCGCTAACACACGCTTTCCTTTCACGTGATGGCGGAGTGCCCAGGGACGGGTAAGAGCTGCAACAGGCCCTAAAGAGCAAGTAACCGGAGCGAGAAAGGCAGACATGGCAGCTGCCAGCAGAGAGGGTCCCCTTACCCAGGAGGTCAGTCTGAGGAAGCCAGTCCATGATTTTCACATTCGCCGCCAATTGGACGTGTTTGGGCCAATGAGAAGGGCTGCACTTCCATATCACCCCCTGAGGCAGCTGTGCAAAGGCCCTGTGCATCTGCTCCAGGGCCTGCTGGGACTGAGCAACGTTCACTATGGAGCCCAGGGCCACCAGCACGAAACCCGCCTCGCCAAACTGGGCGATGAAGTCCTCGAGTTCCTGCAGAGAGCAGAGACGTCACAGCCAGAGGCACCCTGCTCATGGAGCACACCTTCCACGTGAGCTCTGTGTGCCTCCCTGTGCCGCGTACACCCAAGACTCCCCTTCCTACAGGATCCCATCTACTGCGGCTGGATGGGCTGCAAGAGAGTTTTCTGAGCCTCAGTGTCTCAGGACCACAAGAATGGTCCATCCTTTCTCTCCAGGCTTTGGAATTTGATGAGTTAAACTTCAAGTTCTCCTCTCAGGGGTCAGGAAGGAAGACAGGAGGTGGTTTTGATAGCACCCTCCAGAGGACCGTGCTAACCTGCCCTCCCCCTGCACTGTGGGCTTCCCCAGAGGAGCCTGGGAGATAAGCCGGATCCCCACGTGGTCAGTAGCTGGATCTCTTCTACCCCTGCTGGGGAAGCAGCAGAAATACGTGGGGCGGGAAGATGGTTAGGGAGAGAGACGCAGGATCCGTGAGTCACCATTTACACAGTGAATCTCAAGTGCTTCTCCATTTTCTCAGTTCCCAGTGACCTACGTGGGCTATGCCATAGGCAAGCTGTGAAGTTCAAGGGTATCTGTGCTCCCCTCAACCTCCACTCCACCCAAATGATGTTCTCAGAGTGGGCTTCCCAGAGGGCCTTTCATCACTGTCTCTACATTTCCCTGCTCCCACAAGCTACTCCTCGAGGCAATGAAACTACTCCTTTACCCATTGTGGTGGCAGCTATAGGGTAAGGGAAGGCCTGATTTGGGGGGGCGGGGGGGGGGGCGCTGATGGTAGATCTCTAGAATACATAAAAAGCTACAACCCAGCTCAGAATGTAGAGCCTCAAAGACACAGAAGTAGCCGGTCCTGCATGGCTCAGTGGTTGAGCATCGACCTATAAACCAGGAGGTCAGAGTTTGATTCCCAGTCAGGGCACATGCCCGAGTGCAGGCTCGATCCCCGGTGTGGGGCATGCAGGAGGCAGCCGATCAATGATGCTCTCTCATCATTGATGTTACTATCTCTCTCTCCCTCTCCCTTCCTCTCTGATATCAATAAACATATATGTTTAAAAAACAAATGAAAACAAATAAAACCCTGAAACTGGAGGCAGCATTTGGAGCCACCAGAACAGCTCACATAAAAAGACCAACAACACCACACGGTGGATGTGGAGTATTTGAAGCTCTGGTGCTACTGGGGGCAGCATAAGACTTGTATGGTCGCCTTGGAGAAATGTTTAGCAACTTCTATGTCTGTGTACAAAGGATTTACTTACTTGAGGTATAGGTTCAACAGGTTTGGCCATCAGACCTCCAACATACACAGTGTTAGGAAGCAGGGGCCGGGCAAAATCAAAGGCGAAGTCAGAATTGACAAACCACAGCTCTGCTTTCTGTTGAAGATGAAATAACACTGGCCTAGAGCCTTCTGGGAAATTTTCTCTGATCGTGCTATCGAACTGCGCATGGATGTACCATTGCCTCAAGGAAGAAATAAAGAACATCAGAGAGTTCGTCACTCGGCCCCAGAAATCCATGCGGTCCGTCAGGGAGGAGTGGAAATCGGGAACGTAGGACACAGGCTCGGGCAGCCCAAAATTCGTCACCCCAAACGTGGTGCCGAGGACGGCCACAAAGGGCCTTGCCAGCTTCTCAGCGATCAGGAAAGCGCAGAGATCTAAACCGTCCACCACCACCAGGTCGAAACTCGCATTTTTTAAGGAGCCCATGAGATCTGTCCTTCTCAGCAAATCACTACACTGATTGGCAAAGAGCTTCATTATGTTCAAAAGGTTTGTAAGTGGGCTCCTGAGAAAGAAAAAGAAGTGAGAGATGTTCAATATTCATGGCAAGTGCTCATCTGAAAAGTCTCGAAAAATCTGACTTAGCACGGGGAGAAGAAGCACGTCTGGCAGCCGCCTGCCCGTCGTACTGCTCGCCCGAGAACTGTCTGCTCCAGATCTGGCGTTTTTATGGCCTCCAACTCCACCATGCCATTTCCTTGTTTTTGTCTTTGCTACAATTCTCTCTGATGCTTAGGATGTTTCTGCTCGCTTCCCTCTTGCTTTCTTCTCCTCATTCTACCATCTTTTGGTGCCGTGCCTGCTCTGGGAGATGTTACCAGCTGTGGCCTGTGGCCCGGATCTCTCTCTCCCGGCTGAATGCTGAAGCTCATTGATGATGCTCTGTATGACCTTCAGTTCTAAGGTAACCTTGCTGTCAATGCGCCCATGGACGGGACTTGTTTTCCTGGGGATGTGAGCATCTTAATGACATGAACACACGTGGAGGGACAGCATCGCCCACCCCTAAAAGCTGTGTGCCAGGGGCATCTGCCAGGCTCTGGCTTTCGAAACTTGGGCCGACAGATGTCTTCACACTCCATTGGCAGAAAACCCTGCAAAAAGGTCACTGTGACCTGGCTCCCCTTAAGGGCCAGTGAATAAGTACTTTTCTCCACCCCTAAGGCCCTCTCCTGTGATACAGATTCTTAAAACCCCACTGAGGATTCATGTCCTATGTCAGTTTTGACTAGAGGTTTTACTTTGTTTTATTGGGAATCTATTTACTTTTCTTTTAATAATCAAGGGTTACAATTACACAGCACTTGACAAATGCCCTAGCTAAGGGATCCCACACTGATGATTTCATGGCCCGGAGTATTGGCTGGAAAGTGCTATTCCTGCTTCCCAGGCCCAGGAGCTAGGCAGTCACTTCACGAACTGAATGATGGGCAGTCAGCCGTGTGACCTCCTCTGGCTAAAGCGAAGGCCCCACCTAGAACCCGCAGGAGAGAGCCCTGCCCTGTGTCCTCTGGAGGGGAACTGGGGGAGGGAGAGGCAGAGACATGGCTTGGGCAGGGGCGGTCTCTGCCCTGACTGTATACTTTCTGGGAAGCTTGCAAAGACACCTATGGCTGTACTTCACCATAAATACTTTACATAAGCCATTCCGAAGGTGGGACGCAGACCTAAGCATTCTTTCAAAGCTCCCCGGTGACTGCAATGTGCAGGCAGAGCGAGGATTTCTGTTCTGGAGGCAGAGGGACAGGACGGCAAAGGTGCGTTTTTCCCCGCATAAGAGCGCAGGGCATACCACCACTCACATGTTTTAAAATTAAATGGTTCAGCTATTCTTAAAGCTGAAAGAAAGAAAAAGATGGAATGAACTAATGTTGGGACAAAAGCTGTTACGGTGTTTGTTTCAGTAAAGACAATCTTTCCCTTGAGGATAATTACTGATCATTGTTGGGGAGCAGTGAGAGGAAGCTTTGTTTCTGTTTTAGGGTTTTTTTGTCATCTGAGCAGAGTGATGGTCAGGGCAGGCTTCTTCCAAAAGGACATGAGACTGTGAGGGGAACACGAATGTGAGCAACTGCACAGGCAGCTCAGGACACAGCAAATTTGACGAGGCGGTTCTGATTGGATCATTTCAAAGACCAAATACAAATATATATATATATATATATATATATATATATATATATATATATATACACATACATATATATAAACAGACAGCTAGTTTAAGCCAGAAAGAGAGTAGTCTAAGGAGGCTTCTTGAATTCAATGCTCAATTTGGGATAATTTTCCTAATTATTTATGGAACAAATCAAAGGTTTCAATGCCTGTCAAAAGTTAATCAAGAAAGATGTGACATATTTCGGTCTAGTATTTTTAGTAAATCTCCATCTTCAGGTAGTGCCATGAGGTTGACCTGGTGGCTACTGTGCTTCCACGTGCTGCACACTATGGCAGCGTCTGTGGCTCCAGCAGCAAGCAAGGAAAATATGGCCTTTGGCCTCACGGAGTTTACAGTTTAACAGGGAAAGCATGTGTTCAGCAAATCATTACAAATAATAAATTAAATATTAATAAGTTTTCTAAGTATTTCAAAGGAAAGAGCTAGGCATTGTGAATGTGTAGAAACAATCAAACTAGTCTAACAGTCAGCACGGTGGTTCTGTCAATTTAATATAAACCAGTGGGGGTTCTTTAAATTAAGCTTTAAAAAAACACAACCACTTCAGGTAACACATGGGGTAATCTTGAGAACTGAGGGCATGTGTTATAAATTTTTGGAAATTAGCACATGACAATATCAACATTCACTAACATGGGAGAGAAAAGACTTGCAGAGACACAGTGCGAGGGCCTGTGGGACGTGCTCTGAAAGTGTGTGTTCCCTGCACAATCTAGTCGGAGGAGGGAGCAGAGGGCGGAGTTGGGGTGGCTTGGTTTGTCTTTTCAGCCTCTTTCATTCTCTGCTCTGTCTCTAACACCTACATTGCCTGGCACATATTAAGTCCCCCAAAAATCTTTGTAATGAAAAAGACAAAGCACAAAATTAAGTGGTAAGACGGTGGTATAGAGAAGTTTGGAGGAAGAATTGGAGTAAATGAAATAGATTTTATGGAGGAGGAAGTATTCAAAAATGCCTTCACTGGGGAGAAGCATCATTTAGCAGAAATGAAGGAGGAGCAAGAACATTCTCATGAACTCAGACAGGCATGGCTTTCGTTTCAGTGATTTCGTGCTTAAGATGAGCAGTTTCTTGTTATTTTGAGTTTCAGATGAGTGGCCTCATGACTTATTCTCTGTAAGGCTGAGAATGAGTCCCAGAGTTCTGCATGGAATGAACCGTAAATAGCCAGGCTCAAGTTCTGCAAAAATGAATCTTTGTAAGTGATCCCATCATCAAAATTTATGAGGACAGAAAGGAACAGAAGGAAGTAAAATTGAGTTTCTATGACTTTATCCAGCGATGAAATGGTGAGTTGCCCATCACTATCCCTGAACTGGAGAGATTAAAGGTAAAGGGAAGCATCTTTTAAAATTTATATTTCTACTCATTCAGGCTTGAAAACTGAACATGCTGGGAATATTAACCAGAGTGCCATATCCCCAAGACTGCCTGAAGTGATTGATTCAGTGATGATTGAGATATTTCTATTCATTCATTCATTCATTCATTCAAATTTCTCAAATAATAATTGCTTTACTTTTTTTAAAAAAAAAAACTATTACCTTCCCAGCAAAGCTTCCTTTGTAAAGAAATCTAAATTTTTCTTGAATTCCTGTTGAAAGTCTTCAGGAGGAGACCAATGGACAGTTTGGTATGTTTTCTCTCTTTTAAAACCTAAGAAGAGAGAGAAGAGAAAATTTAGTCATGCATGTTAAAAGGAATGTTGAAACCCCAATTTTAGTCCTTTCACTTATTTCTCAGGATTTTTTCTCTAAAACATCTTATTGAGATATAATTCACATATCATAAATTCCCCTTTAAAAAACTTTACAGGTTTTTAGTAAGTCTGCAGGGTTGTGCAACCATAAACACAACCAATTTTAGAACATTTCTCATCCTCAAAAGACATCTCAAACTTATTATCAGTCACTCTCATTGTTCTCTTACTTTTATTTTGTTCTTTACTGATCTAAAGTCTTTGTCTAGTAAATCCATTGTCTGGGCTTCCTCGTGGACAGTTTCTGTTCACTGCTTTCTGTTGGCATATTTTCCTATTTCTTTGTATGTCTCATAAAGTTTTTGTTGTTGTTATGATTTCCCCCATTCCCAGTTTATTCTTGTTGCTGTTCACCGTTGATGTTATTGTTACTGCTGTTTAATGACTTTCCTGAACTAATTCTGTAAAACCTATTTTGCCTGTCATGTTTAGTGATGGGAGTCTCTGATCAGTTAGTTAGTGGTCATCTAATCTAATTAGGCTGAGATTTCCTCAAATGATGTGCAACTATAAGTGCTCTAACCCTTGCCAAGGGGCTCTGTGTGTGTGTGTGGTGGGCACACTTTCACTTCTCTGGGAGGAAGTTTATGATGCTGCCAGAGCCTTCATTTCCTGCCTGCTCAGAGGCTCACAGCGAGCCACTAGTGAGCAGCTAGGACCTTCTCCTGAGCAAGGCACATGACCATCTAGATCCCCAGGAATGAGTCAGAGCTGTTCAAAGAGGCATCTTCTCAGTCATGTCGCAATATTGGGTTAAACATTCTGAGTTTACATTAGGATGACTGTGTAAAAATTATTCATTTTTAAGCCAAATAGTATGTCGTCATGTGATTTCTTTCCATTTGTGTCCTTTCTTGGCCCTAGAATTAACAATCACCTTCCTTTTTCATTTGTTTCATTGAGTTTGTTTTCTTTTGTTTTTATGCCTGTTGGTCAGTCTCAACTCCCTCCAATATTCTCTCAATACAATTTTCAATTTGGTCAACTTATTGAATAAATTTTTTCCAGGAGACGTTCCTCCTAGATCCTCCCATTGATTAAAACCAGACGACGGCTGACCATGCCAACAGCAAATCTTCCACTCTTCTGTTTTGCCAATTCTATTCTCTCTAGCCCTTTGTCTTCCTCTTTCTCGGTTCGCCTGTTGTTCTGATCAGCCTAAATCCTGTCGTTACTTCTACTTTTTGAGAAACTTAAATTTATATGAAAAGGAAAGCCTTTGAGATTGTTTTATTGCTAAATCTTGTTGGTTTTCTGGGTGCAATACCAATGCCAAAAAGTTTGATGTCATTCTGAGTCTTATTCATTATTGAAATATATGATAACGTTTAGGTTATTTTTATTAATCATTGGTATTCTGAAATTTTGCCATGATTTGCCTCGCCATAGGTCTTTATTTTATTAGTCTTTGTGTTGGGGCCCTTCAATATAAAGACTTGTGTGTTCTAGTTCTAAATTTTTTTCTTGTATTGATTTTCTGATAAGTTTCTCTTGCAGTTTCACTGCCTTTTTTTCCCCTGGGATTCTTACCAGTCTGAAAAACATTTTGATCCAATCTTCACAAACTAGAGGCAAGATTTTGAGCAACATAAATAAAGCAGCATTTTATTTACTGAAATGTGTGTGAAGGGTTTGCCTGAAGGGGCTGTGGATGCAGTGAGGGGGTGAGAGATAGAGGAATACAGATGAGCAGAGCCAATAGCATTTCAGACTTCCTTTTGCTAAGGTCATGGTCTAAGATGGACCTAAACCAGTACCCATATCTTTCTTCGTTATAGTGATTCAGAGGACTAACATGAAGTTTTGCAGGACATTTAGCATGTACAAGGCACTCACAGCTTATCATCTATGGAAGGAGGGTCCAAACACTACTGTCCAGTGTGGTCCCCCTTGAGCACTTGAAGGGTGGCTAGTGTGAACTGTAAAACACACATCAGATTTCAAAGATTTAACATAAACAAATGTGAAATGTCTCGTGAATAATTTTTATAGTGTTTACATGTAGAAATGATATATTTTGGATATATGGGGTTAAATAAAATATATTATTAAAATTAGTTTGACCTGTCTCTCTTTTTTTATATATATATATATTTTATTGATTTTTTACAGAGAGGAAGAGAGAGAGATAGTTAGAAACTTCGATCAGCTGCCTCCTGCACATCCCCCACTGGGGAAGTGCCCACAACCCAGGTACATGCCCTTGACCGGAATCGAACCCGGGGCCTTTTAGTCCGCAGGCCGACGCTCTATCCACTGAGCCAAACCGGTTTTGGCTGACCTGTCTCTTTTTAATTGTTCATGTGGCTTCTGGAATTTTAGCAATTACATTATGGAGCTTGTATTTGTGGCTCACGCTATAATTGAATTAGACAGTCCTAGTCCACAGAATAAGATGATACCTGGTGGGAAATGAAGGTCGCTCTGTTGAAGGAAGCTGACATCGTGCCCATGATCTTGAAGAATCTGAGACACCCGGTCCATCAGTAGATAATGGCTTCCCCCTAGGAGCAAGGCTTCCGTTTTGTGAGGTGCATGGAGAGAAAAGCCACAATGGTGTGGTAGGGGCTCAGGGGAGCTTCCTGGCCGGAGGGTGGGGCCAAGGAACACTTCCTTCCTCTCCTCACTTCCTCTGTGGGCCAGGCGCTCAGGACCCTTCAGTCCTCATGGAGTGTGACTCCCACTCTCTGAGGCCCCACCTCTAGCAACCCTCCTCTAGTTCCCCTGTCCTGTGAGGACCTGCCCATGAGACTAGCTCAGAGCATCCCTCCTCCTAGGAAATAGTCTCCATTTTATGAAGGGCCATGTCCCTTATTCATGCCTTGTGTGCACAGGGTGGTAAGTCTGTGGCTTCTCATAGCAGACACATCAGGGCTACTGTTGAGACCCTCCTCCCTGGCAGTGTTTGCCACAGAGAAAAGCAGAAAATGGCTAGAAGGTGACTCCCGGAGGCAATCATGCAGAGAGGGACATTGAACTAGAAGGTCCTTGAAGTGTAAATATGTTTGGCAGGAGATACTGAAGTCAGGCATCTTGGGATGCCTGCAGCCCGCCCACCAGGCCCCTGGAGAAATCTGCGGGCCCTGATTTGCATTAAGGAACAAGGAGGGATCCCCAGAAAGTTGATCCTAGGACTGCGGCCCAGGTAGGCGCGCTCCTGTCTTCCCAGCTTGCTCTCAGCTTCAGGGAGACCCCGTGCTTTCCTAGGGGCCGCTTTCTGCAGCTGACCTGACAGCCCTGGGGAGGAGGGGTCCTCTGTGGCCTGCACCCAGGAGCGCGCTCAGACACTCACCGTACAAGACCACGGTCAGGATTCTGGCGCCTTCCAGGAGCGGGAGCCAGGACCCCAGGAAGGCCAGCAGCAGGGCCCGCTGCCCAGGCATGCTGACTCAGCCGTGCCCAGCGCAGCCGCAGCCGAGCTGCAGGCAGCGCGCCCACAAACAGGCTGACCTCCTGCTCCCTCGTCCCGCACAGCGAGCTCTGCAAACTCCTAGCTGGTGCGCCCAGCGAGCGCGGTGCCTGCTGCCCCGGGATCAGAGCTCAGAGCTCAGAGCTCAGAGCTCAGAGCCAGCGGTCGGCCAGGCTACCCCGCCCCTTCTCTGCCAGTGACCCCTGCTCTGCCGGCCTGTCCCCTGGATCCCGCCTGGGAACCCGGGCTGGGGAGTGTCCATGAGAGTCACGTCCATGACACGCCCCGCCTCGGAGTGGGCGGGTGACAGCCCTGCGGGTCAGCAATGCCAAGTTAGGACGCCCAGCCTGCCTGCGGTATTCCCGTCCTCTTTTCTGGCTTTCTCCCGCCCCTGGGGTGCCCCACCCAGAGCCCTTCTTACTAATTCTTGGAGTGACACACACCTCATCTCCCGCCCCCTCCGCCTCCCGGGAAGGGACCTGGAGGTGGTGTTATGACAGCTGGACCAGGAGCGCGGGTCACTGCGGGACGGTGACAGCCATTCACCACTTACCTTCTGATGCAACACAGACTCACTGAGCACCCGCTGGGGTCAGGCAGGTGGCTCTGCGCACATTCCCCCGGAGCTCCTGTCTGCGTGGGGAGGTGAGCACTGGCGTGAGTTAGAACTTAGGTCCTGCTACGTTCCAAGGCGACCTCCAGGTAAGGACCTGGAGGAGCCCGCGCTGAGGCAGGCGGGTGCCTGGTGTTTCTCAGGGAATGAGCGCTCCTGTGGGCAGCACTATTCCCGGCATTTCCAAGCCCATGACTTGGTCACCGCCGCACAGCCACCCTGAGTACTGTATTGTAAGCCATCCGCCCCCTCCCCACATTCTCTTTTTATTAAAACTGAGTCTGAGGTTCAGGGTTTCTGACTTAATCAGGGGCCAAGTTTCCCAAACACCATATTAAGAGATGCCACTTTATTAGCAATTCCTCTTTTTCTTTTTAAGGTAGAAGAGAACTTGTATTTAAATGGTGCCCAAGGGCGATGCATGTGTTTTGGCACTGATTTCCTCCTGTTCTGTTTTCTCACCGAGGAAAGGAAAATAGCCCTAACCTCGGAATGCATGCTTCTCCGTGGCCCTCGGGGCTCCGTCTGAGCTCTGCCCTGTCCTCTGCATACGAAACGGCCTGTGCGTGCAGCTCCTTCTCCGCCTGCGTCTTCCCTGTAGAACATGTAAGAACCACAGGCCTCTTCTCATTGTGTACCATCTCGGCCTCCCTTAAGGAGTCCAAGCCAGCGAGCAGGGTTTCTGCTACTACCCTTCTCTTAGAAGCTTGGAGCTTCCAGTTCATTTTATTGGGGTTTATGCCATTAGAAAAGCCACCTCGCAAATTGTTTTCCGATAAGCTCTTCACCGTGGGCTTCCTGGAGATGCTGTAGGATAGGGCCTTTAAAATTCTTACATTCTGAAAATCCTTATGGGGATTTGAGGCACCATGTCAATGTTTCTAAGGTCTTAGGGGTTTTATCAGTCTTGGCTTCATGCTTAGACCATGTTTTCCTGGAACGCCCTAGATTTGATGTTATCTTTATCATCATCAATTCTAATAATTTGTGTATTTTTGGATCACCCACATACATAACTATGTCATAATAAATAAAAACCTGTTTCTTCTTTTGGCCTTCTTTCTTGTCTTATGATTATGGAACATACAATGTTGAACAGAAGTGGTGATGGTTGGCATCCTTGCCTTGTTCTGGATCTCAAAGGTAAAGACTGTAGCATTAAGGGTGATGTTTGCATTAGTTTGGGGTTCTTATTTATACATATACATATATAGACACACATCTTTTATCATAAAAATGCTTGCTTTTTAAAAATAGGACTTTTAAAAACATAAATTTTATCAAAATATTTTCTCCATCTCTGAGATGATCATGTGATTTGACTCAACTATTAGAGTTATAGAAATTGATTTTTCTTTTTTGAAACCTTTTACATTTTGAAATAGAAACACATTCAGAAAAGTACATAAAATATAAATGTATAGTTAATAAGTATAAAAAGAAACAAGCTTATAACAACACCCAAGGGAAGAAACAAAACATTGCCTTTACTAACGCTAAGTCTTGCAGCAACACCCTGACTTATAGTGCTGCGAATCACTTCACAGGACTTGCGTAGTCTGGCAATGATGCACGCATTCCTACACAATACATTCTAGTCTGGGGCTGTTTCTGTTCTTTTGCTGTTTTGAATTGATTGGATTTTTAAAACATCTTTCCATCTTTCCTCTCTTTGAAGCTCTATCCCATTTCTATTCTTTTAATGATCAACAAATGATAGCATGCATTCTTAACAAAGTCTAGCTTAGCCGAAACCAGTTTGGCTCAGTGGATAGAGCGTCGGCCTGTGGACTGAGGTCCCAGGTTCGATTCCAGTCAAGGGCATGTACCTGGGTTGCGGGCACATCCTCAGTGGGAGATGTGCAGGAGGCAGCTGATCGATGTTTCTCTCTCATTGATGTTTCTAACTCTCTCTCTCTCTCCCTTCCTCTCTGTAAAAAATCAATAAAATATATTTAAAAAAACAAATAAACAAAAAAAAACCCCAAAGTCTAGCTTAAGCAATATCCTTACTCCTGGATAGTACCAGACCTTAAAACACTAATGCAGTTTCCTCCACTCCCATCTTATATAGTAACTAGAAGTCTGGCCTGTGGGGATCTGGCCAAAACCGGCTCTCCGACATCCCCGAAGGGTCCCGGATTGTGAGAGAGCGGTTCTTGGCTTCCTCCTCTCCAGTTTCGTTCTGGGTGCATCACCCGAGAACAGCAGCTGCCAAGTCACCGCAGCTTGGCATCTCCTGCATTGAGCTTCTGCCTCCTGGTGGTCAGTGCATGTCATAGCTACTGGTCAGACGGTCAGATGGTTGCTTAGGCATTTATATACATAGATTCTCTATATACTTTACCTTTATTATAAAAGTATATATAACAAAGCACACATAAAAGCATGCACTGCTCAGCAATTGATTACAAAATGAACACCTATAAACCAAGAAAGGGAACACAGGCAGCAATCCAGAAGCCCAAGGTCACCTTGATTTCTCCCACATTATCTTCTTTTGTGTTCAAGTTTTAGATTTATGACCTATTTTGAGTTAATTTTTGTGAAAGGGTTGTCAGTGTCTAGATCTTGTTCTGGATCTCAAAGGTAAAGACTGGAGCATTAAGTCTCTCTCTTTTCTTTTTTTTTTTTTGTATGTCATTGTCCACCATCATTTGTTCAAAACACTCCTTCCTTCATTGAATTGCCTTTATTCCTTTGTCAAAATGAATTGACCGTATTATGTGGGTATATTTCTTGGCTCTCTATTCTGTTCTTTGTTTTTTTCACCAATCCCACACTGTCTTGATTACTGTAACTTTATACTAAGTCTTGAAGTTGGGCAGTGTCAGTCCTCTGACTTCGTTCTTTTCCTTCTGTGTTGGGTCTTCTGGGGTTTTTGCCTCTCCATGTAAACTTTATAATCAGTTTGTCAATACCCATTAAATAGCTTTTGGAATTACATTGAATCTATAGATCAAGTTAGGAAGAACTGATATTTTTTTTTCATGCAAAACAAAATCAAATTTAATGGTCTAAAGTGCAAAAGTAGAATAAATTTTAAAAAGCAAAAGAAAATTAACAGAACCCCAAAATGTCAAGACAGTTATGAAGATAACTTTGAGGGTTAATCTTTAAAACTGTAAGTCAAAAGTCTTGTGTGCTTGTTGTTAATCGATAACTGGCAATAAGTAAGTACTTTTCTGCAGTGTCCATACGAAAGCAAAGTTTCAAAACAAAATCTGACTAAAACAGAAAAAAAGTCTAGTGCTCACAAGAAGGGATGTGAGAAATACAATAGTCAAATGTTTGTGCCGTTTTATTCATTTGAACTATGTTACATGTTCTTGGAAATTGAAGGATTATGAACAATAGCGTGGGGCACCATGCATGCAATGTGTGACAGGCATTTGGGATGTCAGGGCAGCAACACTTGTCCAGGCATGCCTTGAGCTTAGCTCTGACTTGGGCATATATGGAGTTTCCTTGAAACCCTGGGGTCCATTCCCATTGGCTCCTGGGCTTAGGAACAGGTTCATGTCCTCCTCTGGGGGGCCAGGCCCAGCATGTAGCCCCCTTCCTGGTGCTGGTCCCCCTCAGGCAGGCCCGTGGACATGTCCGGGACTGAGTGAGCAGGAGGTGGCAAAGGGAACTACCTGGGGCAACAACTTACTGCCAACCAAAGTAGGAATCACTTAAAACGTGGATGTGGTTGAGAAAATGCACATTCAGCATCTAAGAACTGACAACCTGACAATTTTGAGTCTTGCTATCCATGAACATGGAATCTCTCCCTATTATTTAGTTGATTTCTTTCATCAGAGTTTTGTGGTTTTCCTCTATATATCTTACATCCTTTCTGTGAAATGTATACCTAAGTTTTTCATTTTAGGGGTTATTCATGTAAATGCTATGTGTTTCTGAATTTCAAATCCCACTTGTCCATTGCTGGTATATGGGAAAAGGATTGACTTTTGCATAGTAACCTTGCACCCTACAAACTTGGTATAATCGCTTATTAGTTCCAGGAGTATTTATTTTTTTGGGGGGGGGTCAATTCTTTTGGATTTCCTACATAGACAATCATGTCATTTGCAAACAAAGAGAGTTTTATTTCTTCCTTCCAAATCTGTGTATCTTTTATTTTATTTTCTTGTCTTGTTGTATTAGGTAGGCTATTGTAAGTGGTATTGTATTTTATTTCAAATTTCGAATGTTCCTTTTGGTATATAGAAAAGCAACTCTGTTTTCTTGCTCGGCCTGACCAGGGTTCATCATTTTTATCTATCTTTTCAAACACTCAGCTTCTGGTTTTGTTGATTTTTCCTGTTTTCAATTTCAGTGATTTCTGCTCTAATTTTTATAACAATTACTTATTCTAATTATAAACACAGGATAAAGTAACATGGAATCTAAAGTATATCTTAAAACATTTTTTATAATATCTGTTAATAGTTTTCTAAGAAACAAAGAGTGAGTGCTTCAGTCTACTTACAAGAATTTAATCTCAAAAATGGTATGGTGTAAAATGCATAAATAATTAGCAAAATTCTTAGTAACTTGTAGAAATGTACTTTATTTCATGCAAAGCTACATAATTTTCTATATTTTAACAGCTAATCAATTAAACATTTCAAAAAATCATTACATCACAATAAATTAAAATACTACAGAGCAATTCCAAGTCCATGAGTTTGTCAAAATCAAACTGAGAAAACCTTATACATAGATAAGGCCAAATAGGTAATTT